TATCCTCAATAATTTTCCGCCAAGTTGTCAGACCCCGGTGGCTTGTCATTGTTGATCGACAATAATAATATTTTCACCTCTCCCCACTTACTTTATGGAATTCAAGATTACAATGCTTGGCTTTCATAATTTGGTCAGATATATTTGGATGTGTTGTGTCAGTGTTTGTTGCTGGCATGTCATTCCTAAGTTTGCTAATCTTGCCAATAAAAAAATCATTAAAGTAGTTGGCAATATCAGTGGGTATTGTAATGAATGAGTCATCTGATTCAATGAATGATGGCGCGGAGTTTGCCTTCTTCCCCAAAATTTCATCTTTTACATATTTTTACTATCATTCTTTTATGTCATGTATCTTTGTTTCATAGTGTAGTTTCTTATTTTTATTCAGTTTAGTCACATAATTTCTCAACTTGCAGTACGTTTGCCAATCAGTGGTAAAGCCAGACCTATTTGCTATCTCATTTGCCTCATCCCTCTCAACCATACCATTTTTCAATTCCTCATCAATCCATAGGGATTTAACAGTTTTTACAGTAATTTTCTTAATGGGTGCATGCTTATTAGTAACTGGGATAAGCAATTTCATACATGTCAAGTGCAGCGTCTGTTTGCTCGTCATTACACACCACTGACCAACAAATATTATTTACATCAACAACATAGGAATCGCTACAAAACTTATTTTATGACCTCTTACACAATATTAGGCCCATCCTTTGGAACTTTGGTTTTCCTAGATATGGCTACTATATAGTAATCACTACATCCAATGGATTTGGATACTGATTTCAAACAAATTTCTGTAGCATTAGTAAAGATACAGTTGAAGTCGGAAGTTTACATACACTTAGGTTGGAGTCATTAAAAGTTGTTTTTCAACCACTCCACAAATTATTGTGAACAAACTATAGTTTTGGCAAGTCGGTTAGGACATCTACTTTGTGCATGACACAAGTCATTCTTCCAACAATTGTTTACAGACAGATTATTTCACTTATAATTCACTGTATCACAATTCCATTGGGTCAGAAGTTTACATACGCTTAGTTGACTGTGCCTTTTAAACATCTTGGAAAATTCCAGAAAATGATTTCATGGCTTTAGAAGCTTCTGGTAGGCTAATTGACATCATTTGAGTCAATTGGAGGTGTACCTGTGGATGTATTTCAAGGCCTACCTTCAAACTCAGTGCCTCTTTGCTTGACATCACGTTCATCTGTACAAACAATAGTACGCAAGTATAAACACCATTGGACCACGCAGCCGTCATACCGCTCAGGAAGGAGACGCGTTCTGTCTCCTAGAGATGAACGTACTTTGGTGCGAAAAGTGCAAATCAATCCCAGAACAACAGCAAAGGACCTTGTGAAGATGCTGGAGGAAACGGGTACAAAAGTATCTATATCCACAGTAAAACAAGTCCTATATCGACATAACCTGAAAGGCCGCTCAGCAAGGAAGAAGCCACTGCTCCAAAACCGCCATAAAAAAGCCAGACTACGGTTTGCAACTGCACATGGGGACAAAGATCGTACTTTTTGGAGAAATGTCCTCTGGTCTGATTAAACAAAAATAGAACTGTTTGGCCATAATGACCATCGTTATGTTTGGAGGAAAAAGGTGGTGGCTTGCAAGCCGAAGAACACCATCGCAACCGTGAAGCACGGGGGTGGCAGCATCATGCTGTGGGGGTGCTTTGCTGCAGGAGGGACTGGTGCACTTCACAAAATAGATGGCATCATGAGGAAGGAAAATGATGTGGATATATTGAAGCAACATCTCAAGACATCAGTCAAGAAGTTAAAGCTTGGTCGCAAATGGGTCTTCCAAATGCACAATGACCCCAAGCATTCTTCCAAAGTTGTGGCATAATGGCTTAAGGACAACAAAGTCAAGGTATTGGAGTGGCCATCACAAAGCCCTGACCTCAATCCTATAGAAAATGTGTGCGCAGAACTGAAAAAGCGTGTGCGAGCAAGGAGGCCTACAAACCTGACTCAGTTACACCAGCTCTGTAAGGAGGAATGGGCTAAAATTCACCCAACTTATTGTGGGAAGCTTGTGGAAGGCTACCTGAAATGTTTGACCCAAGTTAAACAATTGAAAGGCAATGCTACGAAATACTAATTGAATGTATGTAAACTTCTGACCCACTGGGAATGTGATGAAATCAGTAAAAGCTTAAATAAATCATTCTCTCTACTATTATTCTGACATTTCACATTCTTAAAATAAAGTGGTGATCCTAACTGACCTAAGACAGGGAATTCTTACTAGGATTAAATGTCAGGAATTGTGAAACTGAGTTTAAATATATTTGGCTAAGGTGTATGTAATCTTCCGACTTCAACTGTATGATCAATACATGTTGATTTAATTCCTGTACTGTTTGTAACTACCCTGGTAGGTTGATTGATAACCTGAACCAGGTTGCAGGCACTAGTTACAGTTTGAAGCTTTCTCTTGAGTGGGCAGCCTGGTGAAAGCCAGTTAATATTTAAATCGCCCAGAAACTATACCGCTCTATTCATATCACATATATTACAGTGGGGAAAAAAAGTATTTAGTCAGCCACCAATTGTGCAAGTTCTCCCACTTAAAAAGATGAGAGAGGCCTGTAATTTTCATCATAGGTACACGTCAACTATGACAGACAAATTGAGATTTTTTTTCTCCAGAAAATCACATTGTAGGATTTTTAATGAATTTATTTGCAAATTATGGTGGAAAATAAGTTTTTGGTCACCTACAAACAAGCAAGATTTCTGGCTCTCACAGACCTGTAACTTCTTCTTTAAGAGGCTCCTCTGTCCTCCACTCGTTACCTGTATTAAAGGCACCTGTTTGAACTTGTTATCAGTATAAAAGACACCTGTCCACAACCTCAAACAGTCACACTCCAAACTCCACTATGGCCAAGACCAAAGAGCTGTCAAAGGACACCAGAAACAAAAGTGTAGACCTGCACCAGGCTGGGAAGACTGAATCTGCAATAGGTAAGCAGCTTGGTTTGAAGAAATCAACTGTGGGAGCAATTATTAGGAAATGGAAGACATACAATACCACTGATAATCTCCCTCGATCTGGGGCTCCACGCAAGATCTCACCCCGTGGGGTCAAAATGATCACAAGAACGGTGAGCAAAAATCCCAGAACCACACGGGGGGGCCTAGTGAATGACCTGCAGAGAGCTGGGACCAACGTAACAAAGCCTACCATCAGTAACACACTACGCCGCCAGGGACTCAAATCCTACAGTGCCAGACGTGTCCCCCTGCTTAAGCCAGTACATGTCCAGGCCCGTCTGAAGTTTGCTAGAGTGCATTTGGATGATCCAGAAGAGGATTGGGAGAATGTCATATGGTCAGATGAAACCAAAATAGAACTTTTTGGAAAAAACTCAACTCGTCGTGTTTGGAGGACAAAGAATGCTGAGTTGCATCCAAAGAACACCATACCTACTGTGAAGCATGGGGGTGGAAACATCATGCTTTGGGGCTGTTTTTCTGCAAAGGGACCAGGACGACTGACCCATGTAAAGGAAAGAATGAATGGGGCCACGTATCGTGAGATTTTGAGTGAAAACCTCCTTCCATCAGCAAGGGCATTGAAGATGAAACGTGGCTGGGTCTTTCAGCATGACAATGATCCCAAACACACCGCCCAGGCAACGAAGGAGTGGCTTCGTAAGAAGCATTTCAAGGTCCTGGAGTGGCCTAGCCAGTCTCCAGATCTCAACCCCATAGAAAATCTTTGGAGTGAGTTGAAAGTCCGTGTTGCCCAGCGACAGCCCCAAAACATCACTGCTCTAGAGGAGATCTGCATGGAGGAATGGGCCAAAATACCAGCAACAGTGTGTGAAAACCTTGTGAAGACTTACAGAAAACGTTTGACCTGTGTCATTGCCAACAAAGGGTATATAACAAAGTATTGAGAAACTTTTTATTTGATACTTATTTATTGACCAAATACTTATTTTCCACCATAATTTGCAAATAAATTCATTAAAAATCCTACAATGTGATTTTCTGGATTTTTTCCCCTCATTTTGTCTGTCATAGTTGACGTGTACCTATGATGAAAATTACAGGCCTCTCTCATCTTTTTAAGTGGGAGAACTTGCACAATTGGTGGCTGACTAAATACTTTTTTTCCCCACTGTATCAAGCATTTCACATGTTATCCATATACTGTCTGTTAGCACTTGGTGGTCTATAGCAGCTTCCCACCAGAATGGGCTTTAGTTAAGGCAGGTGAACTTGTAGCCATATTACTTCAACAGAATTTAACATGAAATCCTCTATGCTTTACAGGAATGTGGTTCTGAATATAGACTGCATTTCTGTCTTTTCTGTAAATGTTATAACCTTGTATTGCTACCACGGTATCATCAAAGGTATTATCTAAGTGCGTTTCAGAGATAGTCAGAATTTGAATGTCATCTGTTACTAGCAAATTATTGATTTCATGAACCTTGTTTCTTAAGCTACATATGTTAACGTGAGCTATTTTTAACACTTTTCTGAGATGCTTGATTAATTTTCTTGCTTTACTGGGTGAGCTGCACACAGTGGACTTCCTACTAGGGCACACCACCTCAGTGCTAACAGTAGTACTCTGGTTCATAGCCATGTGATTACTGCATACAATAGCTGCAGGATCAGCAGAGGCATTCTGGGCAGTAAGAGGGACATAAATTAGGTTATTTACATTGTGTCTTCCAACGCCCCTAGGATAATGTACATTTGCTGAAGCATTATGACAACTCAGCGACACAATGGTAGGGATTTAACAAGTGACATCAATAAGGGATCATAGCTTTCACCTGGGTTTGATTTGGTTTGATTCACCTGGTTAGTATGTCATGGAAGAGCAGGTGTTCTTCATGTTTTGTACACTGTGTATTATCCATTAGGACATTTCCTTTGAATTTCATATCACTATTTCTTTCCTCTATACACCTTAATGACTTCTCTCTTCTCCTTCGCCATACAGTGCCAGAATTGACCAAGCCCTCGTCCACCCAGTCTCCTGCCGCCCCCAGCTCTGCTTCCCCCAGCCCTGGACCCACCCCCTCGGCGTCCCCCTCCCCTGCCACTGCGGCTGCAGGCGGCGCCCCCCCTCAGGGCGGGAACAATGCGAAGCGTCCGGCGGTGGCCAACGGACAGCCCCCCGCAGCAGGCACCCAGGCCTCCCAGCGCTACATGCCCCGCGAAGTGCCCCCGCGATTCCGCTGCCAGCAAGACCACAAAGTGCTACTGAAGAGGGGCCAGCCTCCGCTGTCCTCCATGCTACTGGGGGGAGGCACCGGGCCAGGGGGAGGAGGGGGAGACTGCCCCAATGCAACCATGGCTGCTGCCTCAGGTTGGTGTCTGGCACGAGTCCCGACATGGCGCATCATGCAAGTTTAGGCTCTGTTCGAATACTTTGAAGTGTGTCCAAACTTCCTAGCTCTGTCTTGGTAGAATGTTTTGGGAAAAACAATTTGTTCTTTCTGTGTCCAAGAACAAAACGATTGGGCAACAGTAGATGTGTTTATTTAACCATCCATTTGAATCATGTGCCTTTATGTTGTTTCCCGTCCAGATTCCAGTCCAGGCTATGTGGGTCCAGCTGCACCCTCACTGCCCCTCACCTCATCATCCTCCTCATCAATCGCTGCTTCTTCTACTACTTCTTCCAATTATGCAAATTCCACGTGGGGGGCGGGCTCTGGCAGCCTGCCCTCCTCTCAGGGCAGGGAGAAGGTCATCGTGGACGGCTCGGACCTGGAGGAGTGGCCTAGCATAGCTGCTGGCGACGGGAACGGAGAAGGAGGAGGTGGAGCTTCGGTGATGGGAAGTGGTAGTGCGTCGTCGGGTGAGGGCGGTGGTGGAATGCCGAACAGCAGTGCCTCGTGGAAAGTTGGCGATCCTGGCAGTCCATCACCCACTTCCTCGTTCTCAATGCCCAATGAATGTATGCTGTCCGGCAGTGTGGTGTGGGGCTCTGCTGCCTCACAGGGTCCTGTAGGAGGCAATGCAGCCCCAGGGACGTCATTGCCCTCCATTCCCAAAGCCTCCCCTCTGCCAGTGGGCCCTGATGGCTCCCTTGGTGGCAGTGGGGGGATCCCTGGTGCCAACTTCAACCCAAATGCCAACCCTTCCGCTTGGCCTGCCCTGGTGCAGCAGGATGGGGCTGGGGCAGCTTCCTCTGAGGGTGGCCCCCCCTCTTCCCTCCTCCAGAGCCTGGCTGGGTCTCTGTCTCCCCCGGGCCTAGGGAACCCACCTCTAGCTGTGAACCAATCCACTCATCAGCACCAACTTCACCAAATGCAATCCAGAGACAGAGAGCACCCGTCGGATGGGGGGTGGGGTGGAGCGGCGCTGGAGACCGGAGCAGGACCAAAAAGCGAGGGGACAGGGGGGGGAGCCGATATAGACTGTGGGGGAGGAGACAACAGGGGAGAGAACCTCGCTGCCTCCCAAACCTCATCCTCCTCCTGGGGAGGCCAGCCTTTCCCCGCTGCTAACTCCAAAACGGGTGCCTCAAGGACTGATGGTTGGGAAGGGGGAGCTGCTGAGGGTGGTGGAGGCTCGGGGTGGGGGTACAGCGCTCATGGGGGTAGTGGAGGGAAATCCTGGGGCGCTGGAAGTGGGGGGGAACTTAAAACCCCCGTGGTATCTCAGGGAGGGGGGGAAGGAGGAGAGCGAGGGTCTTCAGTTGGAGACTGGGGAGGTAATTCAGGTGGGATGGGTGGAAGTGGTGGAGGTGGCAATCCAGGAGGGGAGGCTGGTGGTGTCGGCGGCCGCAGCAGTAGCAGCAGCAGCAGTGGGGGCAGCAACCCCCCTGCCGCATCTTCCTCTCCCACAACATCCACCACTACGACAAGAGCTTGGGACAATCAGAAGGGGGACGGAGCGGCAGGGGGGGACACAGGGGAGTGGGGGGGAGGCCAGGGCGGTAGAGGAGGAGGAGGAGGTAATTCATCCAGCGGCGGGGGCGGCAATCAGCACCACGGGTACGGTCACCACCGGTATTCCCACCCCCCTCCGCCCAACCCTGACGTGGCCTTACAGGCAATGCTCAGCCGCAGTGACCTGGACCCGCGCGTTCTCTCCAACACAGGCTGGGGCCAGACCCAGATCAGACAGAACGTGGCCTGGGACCTAGAACCAGGAAAAGGAGGTTCTGGGTCGTCTGCTTCATCCAAAAATGCTCCACCTCCCATGGGTCCATCTTCTCAATACTCCACTGGCTCTGCTACAACTACTGATCCTATGGTTCCTTTCCCTCTCCCTGGCTCAGCTCCTAACCTGAACTCCAACCCTTCCCTGGGGACCTCTGGTGGCTCCGGGGAGGGCTGGGAGTGTGGTAACAATGGCAGCAGTAGTGGCAGCAACTCCATGCCCAACCAAGGGCCACCTCCCCTGGGCTCCAACATGAGAAACCCTCCTGGCATCACACAATCTGGATCAATGACCACTGGCGTGGGTATGGGAGGAGGAGGAGGCCTTGGACCAGGCCAGGGGAAGCCTACAGGAGGCTGGGGCGGGGTAGGATCAGGGGAGAGCCAAGGAAAAGGATGGGGGAACGAAGGGTCAGAGTGGGGTGGAGGAAGGGAACGCAGAGGTGGAGGAGGAGGGTGGGGAGATAATGGACAACAGGGTAACCAAGGTGGAGGAGGAGGTGGAGTTGGTGGCTGGGGAAGTGGCCAGGAAGAGAAGGGGACAGGAGGAGGATGGAAGGAGGTGGGGAGGGATGGAGGAGGGTGGGGTGGGCAGAGGGAGAGGGGTGGGGGGGACTGGGGAGAGCGAGAGCCTAAATCGAGCAGTGGAGGAGGAGGATGGGGAGAGGATAGGAAAGGAGGAGGTGGAGGTAACTCCGGTGGGGGAGACTCAGAAGTCGGTACGTGGGGTAGCTGGGACGAGGGAGCCCCGAGGAGAGCCTGGGGGGCAGGAGGTACGGGTGGAGGGGGTGGAGGAGGGGCGGGAGGTGACATGGGAGGCAGCAAACCCCACCAGGGGCGTTGGGGTGGAGGTGGAAAGATGCACCCGTCACAGATGCCTAACAGCCAGACGGCTTCTGTGAAAGGCCCCATGGCATCGCAGCAACAAGCACAGACCCCCCAGCAGCCCCCATCGCAGCAAGCGCTGGAACCGGGAGGAGGAGGGGGCTGGGGGAGACAACCGGGCCCCCAGCACCAGAACCAAAGCAGCTCGGGCTGGACAGCCGGACCCATCCCAAGCGGCCCCGGGGGAGGAGAGGGGCCAGATTCCAGCGGGTGGGAGGAACCTTCACCACAATTCATTAGCCGGAAGATGGACATTGACGATGGGACGTCGGCTTGGGGAGACCCTAGTCAGTTTAATAACAAGACTGTCAACCTGTGGGAGAAGAACGGCGCTCCCGCTGGTCAGCAGCCAGAAATGCACGGCCAGGGCCAGGGACCAGGACCACCGCAGCAGCAGGGGCCACCAGCTCTACAGCACCCTGGGCCTGGGAGGCAGCCCACTGGGATGGGAGGCAGGGACATCAACCCTGGGCCTGGGAGGCAGCCCACTGGGATGGGAGGCAGGGACATCAACCCTGGGCCTGGGAGGCAGCCCACTGGGATGGGAGGCAGGGACATCAGCCCTGGGCCTGGGAGGCAGCCCACTGGGATGGGAGGCAGGGACATCAACCCTGGCCCTGGACCTGGGAAAGCTCCAGGGATGGGTAAGAGACTAGCTGTTGGGCTAATGTGCTATGCTTTGTAACGATGCTGAGCTGTTCGTATTGATGTGTGAATATAAGATGTAGTCTATTACTTATCTTATAGACATGCGGAGCGAAAGGAAGAATTGATGTTAAATCCATAATGGATAAACCTTTAGAAATCTATATTTTCCTATATATATTTTGCTAACACTTTACAATAAGGTTCCATTTGTAAGGGGTTACAATTACGTTATTAATGATTATTTAATCATTTATAAATGCATCAGAAATAGGGATGCTAATTTCAGTCAATTTTGCTGCCAACTAACTGACTCATTAACTGGTTAACAAACGGTTAAATTTTTTCCAAACAGTAAAATGGTGTGACCAACAGAAAATACTATCAACAGATCTGTATATAATTATGAGATGCTTATTTCTCCGCCCTGACAATGGTAGTCGTCCCAAGGCTGGAAGGCAGGCGACACAGAAACGCGTTGGGCTTGTTTTGGACAGATTTTGCCGCGAGTGAAACCTCTCGCTTCGCCTCTTCCTCTCTGTAAGCATGCATACAAGGACCGCACGTTTCATTAAGAGCTTAATGGAACATTCAACAATAGCAAGCCTATCGTCTTACAGACAAAAGGCTATAGCCTATTATTTAACATGCAACTCATGTAATGAAGCCACTAATAAAAAGTCATTTTCCGCAAATTGTGGAGATATATCTTTCTAAACAGCATACCTAATGCGAGCGGTTCCATATGTGACAGACATGAAAATCTGTGTTAGAAACGTAGAAAGAGGGGGAATTTATAACAACAACTATGATGGGTTGCTAATATGTCAAGGATTGTGCCTTTGGTTTCTGGACAAGAAAACCAATAGAACAGGAGAGAAATGCTGGTTAATGGCATCAGGAAGTCTTTATAAAATAATTGCCTCCACGTTTCTATGGATGTATTTTCGCAAGGCTATTTTGAAGCAAGGTAAGACATGCCTCATTATTTGAAGTAAAGTAAAAATGTTCAGCTTTCAAATAATAACTGCCTCAAGCTCACATTGCAATGGATGATGCGCTGGTGGCATGCCTACTGTTGACTATAGCCTATGCACTCGAATGGCAAATGGGAGGCACGCTTTAAGTACGAGTTGAGGTTGAGAAATAAAAAATAGCTCCCTTTTAGTCGTGGCCATCAACGTTATTAATCACGCGATTGCATTTAGAATTGTTATTTGTTGCGCAATGACTGGGCTTACAAAAGGAGCTACTCTGGCACTGTTTGACAGGTGATAGGTTATTCCGCTCCTCAAACTAGGCTCTGTGTGCGTGTGATAAATAAGATGCATGATGACTAACGAAAATACACACGCCCCAATTTAATTCCACTAAATTATGCAAATTAACCTATAGACCAATAAGCATGACCGGTCAAATGTATTTTCGGCGGCTAACCGATTTAAGGGTTAACTGTTAACATCCCTAATTATAAACCATTTCATAAATGGTCACATTGCATTAGTCAAAATAGTGCAATAACTGGTGAGTGTTTGCCAAATAGTGAGCCAAATGTTTACCTCCAGTTATTAACCATTTTATAAATGCACTTACAAGCACTTATAAGACCTTATTTTCAATAGTTGCACAGTTGAACAATACTTATTTTCCCACTTTTGGGTGTGATGCTGTGTTGCTCTGTCCCAGGAACAGAAGAGGTTGGTAATCATGATGTGTCGACTCACCTTTGAAACCCTGATGCCCTGGCCAAATGTACATCCAGGACATTGTTCAATCATCATTCCTAACATATTACAGCTGACCAGATTATATCACACTTACCACTTCTCTGTGATAATACAAATATGGTGAATGCCCTGGTGTGAAATGGTAACCGTAGTACCTTTGCTTAGTGAAACAGTGGAGGAGGTATCCTGTCATAACATTGAATGTTTTGGTCTTCATACCAACCGTTCATTGACTGAACATGTTTAACAGTGTTGAATCTTCTCTCGTATGTAGTGATGAGTACCTATAAGTACATTATGTCTAAGCTCTGAGTGACCTCTCAAATCATCTAGAAATGATTTACTTCTATAAGTATACCTTATTTTAAAGTGACAGACCTATAAACATTTATAAATTAGTTATCAACATAACTGCTAAAAGTATACCTTATACCTCATACCTTGGTGTCCACCTCGCCAACAAACTATCATGGTCCCCCTCAGGAGACTGAAAAGATTTGGCATGCGTCCTCAGATCCTCAAAAAGTTATACAGCTGCACCGTCGAGAGCATCCTGACTGGTTGCATCACCGCCTGGTATAGCAACTGCTCGGCATCTGACTGCAAGGCACTACAGAGGGTAGTGTGTATGGCCCTATACCAGGCGGTGTCAGAGGAAGGCCCTAAAAATTGTCAGACTCCAGCCACCCTAGTCGTAGACTGTTCTCTCTGCTACCGCACGGCAAGCGTACTGGAGCGCCAAGTCTAAAAAAATACGTTTTAGGTTTTAACTAATGCTAGCTAACATTTCCTAGCTAGCTAGGTAGGACAGAGATGCTAGCTATCAACTTAGCTAGCTGAGCACCGTGCTAAATCATCCAGCAAAAGTTCTGTATCCAAAAGTGAAAAATTGCGTAGAGAATTTACCCTAAACATTTAAATCTTGTGAACGTTTCTTTTGCGCAATCTCTTCTGTCTGGCCTTTGCACTCTTCTCATAGCCACGTACATCCTGATTCTTCACAAAGCACTGTCACATTATGTCAGTGTCAATACAAAATTCTGAACACGTTCCAGGTCTTTATTTCAAGCGCAGATTCACAGATGGGCAGATACTGTATCACAAAGTCGGGAATTTCTCAGACACCAGCGAAACACACCAATAATATGGCTTGAGATCTTCAGATGAGGCCTTCATTCCTCGAATAAATAGCTAAATGTACCAATGCATCATCAGGGTTTTAAACGTGGAGCAAGACACATCATGGGAGTTGACCATTGGTCTGAAAACCAACCATTTCTGTGCCTGGGACAGAGCAACAATGAATCACACCCAAAAGTGAGAAAATAACAATTGTTTAATTGCGACCGTTGAAAATAAGGTTGCATAGGGCCTCCCGAGTGGCGTAGCGGTCTAAGGCGTCACTACAGACCCGGGTTCGATCCCAGGCTGTGTCACAACCGGCCGTGACGGGGAGTCCCATAGGGCGGCGCACAAATGGCCCAACGTCGTCCGGGTTAGGCCGGGGGGCCTTGACTTGGCTCATCGCGCTCTAGCGACTCCTTGTGCAGACTGACTTCGGTCGTCAGTTGAATGGTGTTTCCTCCGATACATTGGTGCGGCTGGCTTCCGGGTTAAGCGATCGGGTGTTAAGGACGCATGACTCGACCTTCGCCTCTCCCGAGCCCGTTGGGGAGTTGCAGCGATATGAGACAAGATCGTAATTGGATCACAATTGGATATCACGAAATTGGGGAGAAAAACAGGGTAAAATACAAACAAAATTTATAATAATAATTTTGCATGACACAAGGGTTCAATATTATGTGCATTTATAAATGGTTAATAGCTGGAGGTAAATAGTGGCTCACTATTTGGCAAGCACGGACTGGCTATAGCACTATTTTGACCAATTTGTTATACCCCATTTATTAATGTTTTATAATGCAGTTACAAATTATTATAACCGTTAATAACGTAAATACAAACCCTTTATAAACCCTTTACAAATGGAACCTTATTGTAAATTGTTAACGATTTTTCATAATTCTATAGAGCACAGTACATAAATCAAACAAACCACTATCACTGATGGATTGATCCCAATGTTTTCCTGTGTGTAGCTCCATCGTCCGCCTGGGACGGTGGCTCTCCCTCGGACCCCCCGGTGGACAATGGCACTGCAGCCTGGGGGAAACCCACTGAGACCCCCACCGGCTGGGAAGACCCTGGGAAGACCACCTCTGGCTGGGGAAACCCCTCACCCAACCCCATCAAATCTGGTAAGGGAACTAACTACTGTAAAGTCTCAAAAAGACCTGATGATGGCTGATTGTCTAACTATAGGTACAGTGCTTTCGGAAAGTATTCAGGCAACTTTACTTTTTCCACATTTTGTTACGTTACAGCCTTATTCAAAAAAAAATAATCCCTCATCAATCTACACACAATACCCCATAATGACAAAGCAAAAATATGTTTTTAAACAATTGATTTTATCACATTTACATAAGTATTCAGACCCTTTACTCAGTACTTTGTTGAAGCACCTTTGGCAGCGATTACTGCCTTGATTCTTCTTGGGTATGATGCTACAAGCCTTGCACACCTGTATTTGGGGAGTTTCTCTAATTTTTCTCTGCAGATCCTCTCAAGCTCTGTCAGGTTGGATGGGGAATGTCGCTGCACAGCTATTTTCAGGTCTCTCCAGAGATGTTCAAGGCCGGGCTCGGGCTTGGCCACTCAAGTGCATTCAAAGACTTGTCCCGAAGCTGCTCCTGCATTGTCTTGGCTGTGTGCTTAGGGTTGTTGTCCTGTTGGAAGGTGAACATTAGCCCCAGTCTGAGGTCCTGAGTGCTCTGGAGCAGGTTTTCATCAAGGATCTCTCTGTACTTTGCTCCGTTCATCTTTCCCTCGATCCTGACTAGTCTCCCTGTACCTGCCGCTGAAAAACATCCCCACAGCATGATGCTGCCACCACCATGCTTCACCGTAGGGATGGTGCTAGGTTTCCTCCAGACGTGACGCTTGGCATTCAGGCCAAAGAGTTCAAGCTTGGTTTTATCAGACCAGAGAATGTTGTTTCTCAAGGTCTGAGAGTCCTTAGGTGCCTTTTGGCAAACTCCAAGCGGGCTGTCATGTGCCTTTTACTGAGTGGCGGCTTCCGTCTGGCCACTTTACCATAAAGGCCTGATTGGTGGAGTGCTGCAGAGATGGTTGTACTTCTGGAAGGCTGTCCCATTTCCACAGAGGAACTCTGGAGCTCTGTCAGAGTGACCATCGGGTTCTTAGTCACCTCCTTGACCAAGGCCCTTCTCCCCCGATTGCTCAGATTGGCTTGGTGGCCAGCTCTAGGAAGTCTTGGTGGTTCCAAACTTCTTCCATTTAAGAATGATGGAAGCCACTGTGTTCTTGGGGACCTTCAATGCTGTAGACATTTTTTGGTACCCTTCCCCAGATCTGTGCCTCAACACAATCCTGTCTCGGAGCTCTACGGACAATTTATTTGACCTCGTTGCTTGGTTTTTGCTCTGACATGCGCTGTCAACTGTGGGACCTTATATAGACAAGTGTGTGCCTTTCCAAATCTTGTCCAATCAATTACATTTACTACAGGTGGACTCCAATCAAGTTGTAGAAACATCTCAAGGATGATCAATGGAAGCTCAATTCCGTGTCTCATAGCAAAGGGTCTGAATACTTATGTACTTCATACATTTGCAAACATTTCTAAACCTGTTTTCGCTTTGTCATTATGGGGTATTGTGTGTAGATTGATGAGGGAAAACGTTTATTTAATCCATTTTAGAATGAGGCTGTAACGTAACAAAATGTGGATAAAGGGAAGGGGTCTGAATACTTTCCGAATGCACTGTATTGCGTAAGCGTAGCTGTGTGACGAGTCACCTTTGCAGAGTGACTTGATTTAGTCTCCCAAAGAATCCAGACAGTCACATATTTGCATTGTCATCATAACACAGCATTTTGTTAACATGGTAATATGTTATTATTATGTTCTTATGGCGTAATAATGCTAGTCATTGTTATTTCCCTAGCAGGTTCAAAGTCTATGCAAGAAGGAGGCTGGGGTGAGGGCGACCAGGGCTCTGTGGCAGCCTCTCGTCACTCCAGCTGGGAGGAAGAGGAGGAGGGAGGAGGAGGGGTGTGGAGCAGCGCTGGGTCCCAGGGCAGCAGCTCTTCCTACAACAGTGGGGGCTGGGGCCAAGGTCACGGGGGCAAGAAGCCCAACAACAAGGTAGAAAAGCATCCACAATGAGGGGGGAGGTTTGTTTGGTTGTTTCCTCATTCAAATACTTGAGAGGAGTTAGATTTTTGATGAGGCCTTTTGATGTGAAGATTACTTTTTGTTTGACTATGTTTGTGGCAGAAATGTTATATATGTATGTTTGTCTCGCAGGCTCCATTGAAGAGTGGAGGAGGAGACTCCTGGATGAACCCCATGAACAAACAGTTCTCCAACATGGGGCTCCTGGTAAGTTTCAGAGCAAATACAAGGTTTAGAGTCCATAGGCATCCACTGTATGGGCAGGCATAGGTTGTTTGAGATACTGTATGTAGTGAGATATGTTTTGTTGTAGCTATTACAATGAGGATGACATGCCAAGCAGGGCCTAAAATTAACTTTTTGTGTGGCAGGTAGATGGCCAAATATGTTTTTGCCATAATTATTTTTAAAAAGATATATAGAAAAACTGATGACGATGCCTAATGTTTCCAAAAAATGTATTAGTAAGAAGTAATGTGATATAAACTCAGCAAAAAAAGAAACGTCCTCACTGTCAACTGCGTTTATTTTCAGCATACTTAATGTGTAAATATTTGTATGAACATAACAAGATTCAACAACTGAGACATAAACTGAACAAGTTCCACAGACATGTGACTAACAGAAATGGAATAATGTGTCCCTGAACAAAAGAAAACTAAGTTTTCATAACTGTGACCTACCGTCTGTAAGCTGTTAGCGTCTTAACGACTGTTCCACAGGTGCATGTTCATTAATTGTTTATGGTTCAGTGGGAAACAGTGTTTAAACCCTTTACAATGAAGATCTGTGAAGTTATTTGGATTTTCACAAATTATCTTTGAAAGACAGGGTCCTGAAAAAGGGATGTTTCTTTTTTTGCTGTGTGTGTGTGTATATATATATATATATATATATATATATAGCTACATTTCATAAAACATTTTGTGACCTGAGTCTTTTAATCAAAATATCAGATGAGTTAAAGTATTCAGCTTCCACTTTAAGTGCAGGAGATTACTGTGGTAACGGGGCCTCTGGAGTCAGTCGTGTGTGTGTGAGATTTTGGATCTGACTAGTAGTAGACAGCATCTCTTCGCTATCAGTTGAAGCAGTAGATTCAAAGTAACATTGAAAAACAACCGACCTTGTGATCAAAACAATCTAAATAGCCAAGAAACACGAGGACAAAGTCTCACTTTGTAGACTTTCAAGTACATTTGATCAACTTTTATGCCTGTGCGCAGTGCCTCCAAAAATGTATCTATCAGCACACTGCACAAAGCTCCCTAGCCAGGCAGTGTTGCTGCGCGAGGGTGGTCATAGATCCGTAATTCTTTATGCGATTAGCAGCTATGAAACATAACGGCAGAAATGCTCTCAAAACAGCTACTGCAGGGCTTCTCGAGTGGCGCTGTGGTCTAAGGCACTGCTTTGCAGTGCTAGAGGCGTCACTACAGACCCAGGTTTGATCCAGGGCTGTATCACAACTGGCCGTGATTGGGAGTCCCAAATGTGAACATAATGCTCGCACTGTAGAGCCCTGCAAATCGACCACCCGCCTACGTGACTGGTGAAATAGACATTCTTACCCGCCAATACCTAAATCCACCCGCATTTGGCTGGTGTTAATTTTATGCCCTGATGTCATGTCATAGCCATGTTGGGATTGATTATGATGGTGGTAGTGATGAAGAAATGTGCTGTGTTTGTAGGGTGATGATCCTAGCAGGCGGCCTCTGGACTTGGCCCCTGGTCCTCCTCAGGATAAGAAAATGGAGGGAGAGATGCGAGGGATGGGCCTGAATGACTACAATGGAGAGATGCGTAAAGGAGGGCAGAGAGGAGTTGGGGGGAGGAGGAGGGATGCTCTACCGTTCACCTGGTTCCAAAGAGATGGGGCCTGGCGACCCTGGGCCTTGTTATGACAAGGTTGGTTCCTCAGACATCACAACGCTCTCTGGTTACATCCCAAATTGCACGCTATTCCCTGTATAGTGCTATATATACAGTGGGGAGAACAAGTATATGATACACTGCCGATTTTGCAGGTTTTCCTACTTACAAAGCATGTAGAGGTCTGTAATTTTTATCATAGGTACACTTCAACTGTGAGAGATGGAATAAATAAATAAAAATCCAGAAAATCACATTGTATGATTTTTAAGTAATTAATTTGCATTTTATTGCATGACATAAGTATTTGATACATCAGAAAAGAAGAACTTAATATTTGGTACAGAAACCTTTGTTTGCAATTACAGAGATCATACGTTTCCTGTAGGTCTTGACCAGGTTTGCACACACTGCAGCAGGGATTTTGGCCCACTCCTCCATACAGACTTTCTCCAGATCCTTCAGGTTTCGGGGCTGTCGCTGGGCAATACGGACTTTCAGCTCCCTCCAAAGATTTTCTATTGGGTTCAGGTCTGGAGACTGGCTAGGCCACTCCAGGACCTTGAGATGCTTCTTACGGAGCCACTCCTTAGTTGCCCTGGCTGTGTGTTTCGGGTCGTTATGCTGGAAGACCCAGCCACGACCCATCTTCAATGCTCTTACTGAGGGAAGGAGGTTGTTGGCCAAGATCTCGCGATACATGGCCCCATCCATCCTCCCCTCAATACGGTGCAGTCGTCCTGTCCCCTTTGCAGAAAAGCATCCCCAAATAATCATGTTTCCACCTCCATGCTTCACGGTTGGGATGGTGTTCTTGAGGTTGTACTCATCCTTCTTCTTCCTCCAAACACGGCGAGTGGAGTTTAGACCAAAAAGCTATATTTTTGTCTCATCATACCACATGACCTTCTCCCATTCCTCCTCTGGATCATCGGCAAACTTCAGACGGGCCTGGACATGCGCTGGCTTGAGCAGGGGGACCTTGCGTGCGCTGCAGGATTTTAATCCATGACGGCGTAGTGTGTTACTAATGGTTTTCTTTGAGACTGTGGTCCCATTTCTCTTCAGGTCATTGACCAGGTCCTGCCGTGTAGTTCTGGGCTGATCCCTCACCTTCCTCATGATCATTGATGCCCCATGAGGTGAGATCTTGCATGGAGCCCCAGACCGAGGGTGATTGACCGTCATCTTGAACTTCTTCCATTTTCTAATAATTGCGCCAGCAGTTGTTGCCTTCTTACCAAGCTGCTTGCTTATTGTCCTGTAGCCCATCCCAGCCTTGTGCAGGTCTACCATTTTATCCCTGATGTCCTTACACAGCTTTCTGGTCTTGGCCATTGTGGAGCGGTTGGAGTCTGTTTGATTGAGTGTGTGGACAGGTGTCTTTTATACAGGTAACGAGTTCAAACCGGTGCAGTTAATACAGGTAATGAGTGGAGAACAGGAGGGCTTCTTAAAGAAAAACTAACAGGTCTGTGAGAGACGGAATTATTACTGGTTGGTAGGTGATCAAATACTTATGTCATGCAATAAAATGCAAATTAATTACTTAATCATACAATGTGATTTTCTGGATTTTTGTTTTAGATTCCGTCTCTCACAGTTGAAGTGTACCTATGATAAAAATTACAGACCTCTACATGCTTTGTAAGTAGGAAAACCTGCAAAATCGGCAGTGTATCAAATACTTGTTCTCCCCACTGTATATATATAGAGCCCTATAAGCCTTGGTCAAAGGTAGTGCATTAAAAAAAGAATAGGGTGCCATTTGGGACGCAACCTCTGTGACTTTGACTGTTCTCCAAGTCCCTCTTGTCTCGTTAACATTTTCTTCTCTCTGTATTTCTTCCTGTCCCGTCTTCTTTTGGTATCCTCCTTCCTGTCCCTTCCCTGTCTTGCCTACTTCTTCCCCCAATTTGGGCAACTACTTCGATTGGCTGTCGCTGCGATCAGCAGACCTTGCCTTTCACCAATCAGGATGGGTGCCTTGGGGAGGAGTACTCTCCGCCCACTGTCTACAAGCCCTCCCCCCTCTACAGCCACACTATCCCCCCTAGACAAGTAAGGCTGTGTCCCTCTGTCACCATCAGCTCATTGCTTCACCGCTAACCTGGTCCCAGATCTGTTTCTGCTTTAGCCAACTGAGTATTGTTGTTATTCCATAAGTACATGCAGATCTGGGACCAGGCTACTTCACTACGTCTCCCTCTAGAGAGAAACCTCTCTTACTATCCATCCCTCATCAATTGTATTCTTTAAAAATCAATGAGTACATATCATTAATTTAAAATAAAAACTATTTGATGTAGCAATTGCAGATTATCCCTTTATACATCAAGTAAAAAGTATCCCAAAAGCAGCTTCTGTGTCAATAGCTAGGTTTCCATCCCATTGGCGACAGGTTTTCAGAGATGTGTTTCCATCAAACTGACTTGTTGCGGATAAAAGTAGTAGTGCACATACAAAACTTTTGTGGTTAAATTCCCATGTACCGAATAAAAAATATACGTTACATGGGTTTCCATCGCAATTTCAATTCTACTGATGGTTTTGTCAAAACAAATACTGCGTTTGTATTGCGAATGTGCCTACTTTGGTCGTGGCACGTGCCAACAGCTCACAGATGTGATGATACCTATAGGGTACATACCGTGCCTTAGGAAAGTTATCAGACCCCTTCACTTTTTTCATTATGGGGTATTGTGTGTAGATTGATGAGGGGAAAAAACAATTTAATCAATTTTAGAATAAGGCTGTAACGTAACATTTTGTTACGTTACAGCCTTATTCTAAAATTGATTAAATTGTTTTTTCCCTCATCAATCTACACACTACCCCATAATGAAAAAAGTATACCCCATAATGACAAAGCAAAAACAGATTTTTAGAAATGTTTGCTAATTTATTTAAATGAAAAAGCACCTTTGGCAGCGATTATAGCCTCAAGTCTTCTTGGGTATGACACTACAAGCTTAGCACACCTGTATTTGGGGAGTTTCTCCCATTATTCTCTGCAGATCCTCTCAAGCTCTGTCAGGTTGGATGGGGAGCGTTGCTGCACAGCTATTTTCAGGTCTCTCCAGAGATGTTCGATCGGGTTCAAGTCCGGGCTCTGGCTGGGCCACTCAAGGACATTCAGAGACTTGTCCCGAAGCCACTCCTGCGTTGTCTTGGCTGTGTGCTTAGGGTCGTTGTCCTGTTGGAAGGTGAAACTTCGCCCCAGTCTGAGGTCCTGAGCACTCTGGAGCAGGTTTTCATCAAGGATCTCTCTGTACTTTGCTACGTTCATCTTTCCCTCAATCCTGACTAGTCTCCCAGTCCCTGCCGCTGAAAAACATCCCCACAGCATGATGCTGCCACCACCATGCTTCACCGTAGGGATGATGCCAGGTTTCCTCCAGACGTGATGCTTGGCATTCGGGCCAAAGAGTTCAATATTGGTTTCATCAGACCAGAGAATGTTGTTTCTCATGGTCTGGAGTCTTTAGGTGCCTTTTGGCAAACTCCAAGCGGGCTGTTATGTGCCTTTTACTGAGGAGTTGCTTCCGTCTGGCCACTCTACCATAAAGGCCTGATTGGTAGAGTGCTGCAGAGATGGTTGTCCTTCTGGAACGTTCTCCCATCTCCACAGAGGAACTCTAGAGCTCTGTCAGAGTGACCATCGGGTTCTTGGTCACCTCCCTGACCAAGGCCCTTCTCCGCCGATTGCTCATTTTGGCCGGGCTGCCAGTTCTATGAGGAGTCTTGGTGGTTCCAAACTACTTCTATTTGAAGGATGGATGCCACTGTGTTCTTGGGGACCTTCAATGCTGCAGACATTGTTTGGTATCCTTTCCCAGATCTGTGCCTCAAAACAATCCTGTCTCTGCGCTCTACGGACAATTCCTTCGACCTCATGGCTTGGTTTTTGCTCTGACATGCACTGTCAACTGTGGGACCTTTTATATAGACAAGTGTGTGCCTTTTCAGATCACGTCCAATCAATTGAATTTACCACAGGTGGACTCCAAGTTGTAGAAACATCTCAAGGATGATCAATGGAAACAGGATGCACCTGAGCTCAATTTCGAGTCTCATAGCAAATTGTCTGAATACTTACAGTGAGGGGAAAAAAGTATTTGATCCTCTGCTGATTTTGTACGTTGGCCAACTGACAAAGAAATGATCAGTCTATAATTTTAATGGTAGGTTTATTTGAACAGTGAGAGACAGAATAACAACAAAAAAATCAGGAGAAACGCATGTCAGAAATGTTATAAATTGATTTGCGTTTTAATGAGGGAAATAAGTATTTGACCCCTCTGCAAAACATGACTTAGTACTTGGTGGCAAAACCCTTGTTGGCAATCACAGAGGTCAGACGTTTCTTGTAGTTGGCCACCAGGTTTGCACACATCTCAGGAGGGATTTTGTTCCACTCCTCTTTGCAGATCTTCTCCAAGTCATTAAGGTTTCGAGGCTGACGTTTGGCAACTCGAACCTTCAGCTCCCTCCACAGATTTTCTATGGGATTAAGGTCTGGAGACTGGCTAGGCCACTCCAGGACCTTAATGTGCTTCTTCTTGAGCCACTCCTTTGTTGCCTTGGCCGTGTGTTTTGGGTCATTGTCATGCTGGAATACCCATCCACGACTCATTTTCAATGCCCTGGCTGAGGGAAGGAGGTTCTCACCCAAGATTTGACGGTACATGGCCCCGTCCATCGTCCCTTTTGATGCGGTGAAGTTGTCCTGTCCCCTTAGCAGAAAAACACCCCCAAACCATAATGTTTCCACCTCCATGTTTGATGGTGGGGATGGTGTTCTTGGGGTCATGGGCAGCATTCCTCCTCCTCCAAACACTGTGAGTTGAGTTGATGCCAAAGAGCTCGATGTTGGTCTCATCTGACCACAACACTTTCACCCAGTTCTCCTCTGAATCATTCAGATGTTCATTGGCAACTTCAGACGGCCCTGTATATGTGCTTTCTTGAGCAGGGGGACCTTGCGGGCGCTGCAGGATTTCAGTTCTTCACGGCGTAGTGTGTTACCAATTGTTTTCTTGGTGACTATGGACCCAGCTGCCTTGAGATCATTGACAAGATCCTCCCGTGTAGTTCTGGGCTGATTCCTCACCGTTCTCATGATCATTGCAACTCCACGAGGTGAGATCTTGCATGGAGCCCCTGGCCGAGGGAGATTGACAGTTCTTTTGTTTTTCTTCCATTTGCGAATAATCGCACCAACTGTTGTCACCTTCTCACCAAGCTGCTTGGCGATGGTCTTGTAGCCCATTCCATCCTTGTGTAGGTCTACAATCTTGTCCCTGACATCCTTGGAGAGCTCTTTGTTCTTGGCCATGGTGGAGAGTTTGGAATCTGATTGATTGATTGCTTCTGTGGACAGGTGTCTTTTATACAGGTAACAAGCTGAGATTAGGAGCACTCCCTTTAAGAGTGTGCTCCTAATCTCAGCTCGTTACCTTTATAAAACACACTTCGGAGCCAGAAATCTTTATGATTGAGAGGCAAATCAATTCATAACATTTTTGACATGCGTTTTTCTGGATGTTTTTGTTGTTATTCTGTCTCTCACTGTTCAAATAAACCTCCCAATAAAATTATTGACTGATCATTTCTTTGTCAGTGGACAAACGTACAAAATCAGCAGGGGATCACATACTCTTTTCCCTCACTGTATGTAAGTAAGGTATTTCTGTTTTTTAAATTTGTAATAAATTAGCAAAAATGTCAACCTGTTTTCCCTTTGGCATTCTGGGGTATTGTGTGTAGATTGCTGAGGATGTCCCTCCATTTTAGAATAAGGCTGTAATGTAACAAAATGTGGAAGAAATCAAGGGTTCTGAATACTTACCCAAGGCACTGTATATGATGAGATTATTATGGATTAGAGTGAGATATATATATATATATATTATTTTTTTTTGTCGTCAAACAGCAGCCAAGCATCGAATATCATGTCACCTGAATAAGTCCCTTAAGATTTATTGAAAAGGAGCATCAAGCTCATCACCTTGCACTTTCACGACCCTGTGAAAAGTTCATAATTTATTTCATCTGTAGCCTAACAAAATGCATATATTCCTGAGTCGTAGTGACTCTAAGTTTACTTCGATATGATGGTTATTATATCAATAAAGGGGTTTCCACCGCCATTTCTCGCAGAATTTATTTTACCAACGCAAAAAGATCCCAACTACGGTGCCTTGCAAAAGTATTCAGCCCCCTTGGCATTTTTCCTATATGGTTGCATTACAACCTGTAATTTAAATTGATTTTTATTTGGATTTCATGTAATGGACATACACAAAATAGTCCAAATTGGTGAAGTGAAATGAAAGAAATAACTTGTTTCAAAGAATTCTAATAAATAAATAACGGAAAAGTGGTGTGTGCATATGTATTCACCACCTTTGCTATGAAGCCCCTAAATAAGATCTGGTGCAACCAATTACCTTCAGAAGTCACATAATTAGTTAAATAAAGTCCACCTGTCACATGATCTCAGTATATATACACCTGTTCTGAAAGGCCCCAGATTCTGCAACACCACTAAGTAAGGGGCACCATGAAGACCAAGGAGCTCTCCAAACAGGTCAGGGTTGGGTTATAAAAAAATATCCGAAACTTTGAACATCCCACAGAGCACCATTAAATCCATTATTAAAAAATGGAAAGAATATGGCACCACAACAAACCTGCCAAGAGAGGGCCGCCCACCAAAACCTGCCAAGAGAGGGCTGCCCACCAAAACCTGCCAAGAGAGGGCCGCCCACCAAAACTCACGTACTAGGCAAGGAGGGCATTAATCAGAGAGGCAACAAAGAGACCAAAGATAACCCTGAAGGAGCTGTAAAGCTCCAGAGCGGAGATTGGAGTATCTGTCCATAGGACCACTTTAAGCCGTACACTCCACAGAGCTGGGCTTTACGGAAGAATGGCCAGAAAAAAGCCATTGCTTAAAGAAAGAAAGAAGCAAACACGTTTGGTGTTCGCCAAAAGGCATGTGGGAGATTCCCCAAACATATGGAAGAAGGTACTCTGGTCAGATGAGACAAAAATTGAGCTTTTTGGCCATCAAGGAAAACTCTATGTCTGGCGCAAACCCATCACCCCGAGAACACCATCCCCACAGTGAAGCATGGTGGTGGCAGCATCATGCTGTAGGGATGTTTTTCATCGGCAGGGACTGGGAAACTGGTCAGAATTGAAGGAATGATGGATGACGCTAAATACAGGGACTTTCTTGAGGGAAACCTGTTTCAGTCTTCCAGAGATTTGAGACTGGGACGGAGGTTCACCTTCCAGCAGGACAATGACCCTAAGCATACTGCTAAAGCAACACTCGAGTGGTTAATGGGAAACATTTAAATGTCTTGGAATGGCCTAGTCAAAGCCCAGACCTCAATCCAATTGAGAATCTGTGGTATGACTTAATGATTGCTGTACACCAGCAGAACCCATCCAACTTGAAGGAGCTGGAGCAGTTCTGCCTTGAAGAATGGGCAAACATCCCAGTGGCTAGATGTGCCAAACTTATAGAGACATTCCCCAAGAGACTTGCAGCTGTAATTGCTGCAAAAGTTGACTTTGGGGGGGTGAATAGTTATGCACGCTCAAGTTTTCAGTTTTTTTGTCTTATTTCTTGTTTGTTTCACAATAAAAATATTTTGCATCTTCAAAGTGGTAGGCATGTTGTGTAAATCAAATGATACAAACTTCCAAAAAATGCATTTTAATTCCAGGTTGTAAGGCAACAAAATAGGAAAAATGTCAAGGGGGGGTGAATACTTTCGCAAGCCACTGTAGTCTAGCGTGTTTTGTCATTTGGAATGTTTACCAACAAATGTTCTGTTTTCATCAGGCCTGTCGTGACATTTTTTTTTATCCGACATGTACTTTACTCGCATAAAAAGGTGTGATGGAAACCGGTTTATTGTTGTATCGTCCTCTTCATCTGTCATTTCCCAACCTGTCTCCCCCATCTTAATGTCTAATAGTCAGCCATGTTTATAACCCTCTTCCTCCCTCTCTCTGTTCCCCTGTCAGGGTGGTCATAACATGTTTGGCAGCAGCGGTGGTGGGTTGCCCCAGTCCAGACACCAGCCCGGTGTGCCACCCATAAACACGTCCGCAGGGATACGAGCGCAAGTGCCTCATCAGTTCCTGTCTCCTCAGGTACCATTTATGTTTTTGTTGTTGTATTTGATCAGACTGTAGAAGTAATCTGTTTTAATTTTCACCTTTTCACAGCTTTTTTCACAAGACTTGCTGATCAATATCCCGTATGCAAATCAGTCTACTATATGCCACAACCTCTGCTCAGAACAATAGATTTTTAGTCCTTTGGCTTCTTAGTTAAAACTTTATGTGAAACATGTTTCCAGGGATTTGATGTATTTTTCCAGCCTGCTCGTCATCATTAGCTAATGTGCGTGATTAGGTGAACTCACTCAATGGAGGAAGAAAACCTCACCAAATCGATGAGTAGTGCACTCACTGATTTGCTGTTTATTAGAGGGAATGTGCTAGACAGAAGGTGATTTATGTTTATGTTCCACGTTCCCATATTAACACCAATGTTCCAGGTGCCAGGTTCCATGCTGAAGCAGATGGCGCCTCCCAGTGCCGGAGTGGGTGGAGTCGGGGGTGTGGGTGGGGTGGCGGGTGTAGGAGGGGGCGTGTTCCCCCCGCAGCTGTCCCCTCAGCACATCGCCATGCTGAGCGGCATCTACCCCCCCCACATTCAGTTCCAGCTGGTGAGTAGCTGTACTCCTATACAACTCTAGAATGAGAACAGTAGTGGTCAGAGAACATAGCCTTGAGCAACACCAAAACTTACCTTAGATTTGTTCTAATTAAATCCATGTTGGCTGAAACGTCAATGTTTTTATATACCTATATAGGCCTATGAGAAGTCAGTAAAAGTAACAATTTGTTTTACAAATTAGAGACCTTACAGCTCTATCAGACATCTACCTCTGTTCATACCCCTTCTCCGTCTCGCCACTGTGTCAGTGTTTCCTCTGGAGAGAAAAATAGCAGTGGGGGGATTGTTTTGGGGGTCCCGCCCCATATACATTTTATGTAGAAGGACTGAGAAGCTCAGTTGTGGTGACTTTTTAAAATTACATTCTTCTCCAAATGAATGAAAATAATATTATGCTGACACCATCGAACATATAATTTCCACTTCCAGAAATGAGCCCAATAACATATTGGTAAAATTATTTTAACATATTGGACCATGCATATAGCCTATGCATGGTCCATATTATCAGGTATGCCATTAGCAATAAGCATATCACCTGCAGCCCAATTTGATGCAGCATTGTGGCTGGCTATAAATAGGCTGAAGCATGGGGTTGCCTATTGGACTAATCATTAGCTAGATACCAAATGTGGTCTTTTAACTAGTTAGCATCCTATTGATGAATTTTATGCCCCAAAAAACTTGAATATAAACTAGGCCTTCCTGTTAACGAAACTCAGGGTAGCATGCCTGTACTTTTCACAGAAACCCCTTAATGTCACAATTTTCTACCCCAACACTTTCCCTGGTTGCCACTACTCTTGCTCAACAAAACATTTCACTTGTCTCATCACAATTAAAGTCACTCCCCCAAAATTATTTTGAGATGGTCAGAATGCCTGTTTCCCGTCTTATGGCAACTCGTAACTTGATGCGCCTCGAGAGGAATATTTATCTCCCATAGAACACAACAACAAGCCGACTAGGTAAATAGATAAACTATGCTACTATGGGGTTGTCAGATTGTTCTATTCATTACTCGTTTTGTTTGCAGAGGAAAACTACATGTGGAATGTTCTAGCATCTTAAATGTGCAGTTCGCCAGAAATATTTCTTCATGTTCCATATTTTTGGGGGTGTGGCACCAATGATTTTGCCGTGGCGCAGCGCCGCAGCAAAATGACTGCAGAAGAAACACTGCACTATGTTGACACTGGCTTCCTCTTCTTAGGGTGTTGTAACAGGTGTTTACAGTCGTCTCTCCCTCTCCCCCAGGCCTGCCAGCTCCTCCTCCAGCAGCAGCAGAACCCCCAGCAGCTCACCTCACCACAGCAGCTACAACAGCTTCTACAGAACCAGAGGAAGTTCCCCCAGAACCTACGCCAGCAGGCCGACCCACAACAGGTAATACTGCTATATCTGTTACAGCTGCTACTAATACTACTGCACTGGAAACAACATAACCAATATTCCCTCTAAGCTGCGTGTGTGCGCCGCAGTGCACCTCCTCCAGAAGAAATGCCAGGCCGGGCAGAGACGCAAGAGATTGAATTCGCCCCATTAGTTTGCACAATATATATAGATCAATGTTTCTTCTGTGATCGAATCAAAATTATATCAACCCCTTTTCAATGCAACAAAACAAAATACATCTAACTTTGCAAGATTGAGTCTGTTATTTTGTTGTAGGCAGAGCCAGAGCGCAACGGAGTAGAATTCTATTGGCAGGAGTAGCCCACCAGTGGTCAATCACCCGCGAGTGAAGGCGCTTTTCAGATCAGTTCAGAGCGCAGAGCCACTTGTGCACATTTGTTGATATTCTTTGTTAGTTAGTGAGTTATTAGCCCAGTTATCGATAAGTATAGGTCAGCAATGGTGAGTTACTGCTTCCTACAAGAGCACAAAACATGTAGGCTAAATTTCTTTGAAAAGCTAGTCCGGTAAAAATATGTCTTCATTAAAGGGGCAGTGTTGTATTTTGAGACAGGCTTGAATATGCAAATAAGCCAATAGGCAGAGGGGTAGCCTACATTGTCTAATTCTCTGTAATAATAATACATGTTATTTTGTAAAGTGGTTTCTTGCGTCATACAACACAATGCAATTTACAGTCACCTGTTTGGCCCATGGCGTTACAGACAAGTAAAACAATTATTAATTAATATCAAGCCCTTCATAATGTAAAAACGTTTTTAAAAGTCTCATGCAATGTAGGCCTGTATTGAACACCACATATAGGCTACTGTAGGCTATCATAGAAATCAAAAGCTATTTCCATGTGAAAATGTTATGGGATTTGCTCCATTGGTTTTGTTGGTAGGCCTACATTATGCTCAAATAGCCACAATAGCCTATTGGCTACTGTCTAAAACTGTAAGGGTACAGCCTCAGTGTTCACTGTAAACGCGCGCCGGAAGTTGCACAAAATTCTCACAACGTTGAAGTTTCCACTCACAAGACCTAAAATTTGCTCAGTGCCCCAAAACATTTGAGGGAACATTGAACACAACCCTAGTTATTTCAACTGGAAACAACACGTGCCCGCTATGAACCAGGTAAGCCTCTGTACTTGAGGAAATACTGTATGTTTTGACACACAAACGTTGAATTCTGATTTGTATGACCACATTTTTTTTTTTTTTTTTACAGCATCACATGAATAGTCATAGGCTGGTGTTGCACGCATGTTGCCGTGTCTGCTCACAGGGTTCCCAATCCCACTCATCCGTCATCGCTCTCTCTCTCTCTCTCTCCTCTTCAGCTGGCCAGGATCGTGGCTGTTCTCCAGCAGCAGAGGCAACAGCAGCAGCAGGGTGTTGGAGGGGGCTCCAAACTGTCCCCCTCTGACCTTGGAGGAGGAGGCCCCAAACTGCCAATGGCTGACTCCCTGCCCCATCCAGGCATGGGGGGCTCTGTGGACCTGCACCAGAAAACACAGGGCTACTCTGGTGAGTGCTGTTAACATGGAAATAAAGGATAGATGATCATCTCTTTTGGCAAATGCTTGAGATTCTGCTTTTTACCAGAGAGAACATCCCATTCATTTTGCCACATAACTGTGTTATACATATTATTTTCAATACAAACCACTAACAATGTTTCAAGTTTTATTTGTCGTATGTACAGGATACATACCGTCCAACCAAATGCTTACTGTCAGTGTAAACCATCTTGAGGATTTTCATTGCATACTGACTGATGCTCTGCATGTAATAGAGTACAGGCCTCTTGCCATCAGCTCTAACCCCTACCTGTCCCCCCCCCCCCTCAGGCTATGGTGGAGGAGTGAACCTGTCTGGTCTGGACATGGGGGGCTCGGTGGTGGGAGGCCCAGGGGGGATGAAGGACGTAGGGGGGCAGCAGTCCCGCTTCAAATGGATGATGGAGGGTCACTCTCCTGCTCCCTCCCCTCCTGAGAGCCTCCACAAAAACGGTGAGAGGGAGCCCTTACACTGTAGTGAGTTTACGGAATTAATTGTAGTTTGACATGGGGCAGCAGGTAGCCTAGTGGTTAAGAGCGTTGGGCCAGTAACCGAAAGGTCGCTGGTTCGAATCCCCAAGCCGACTAGTTGAAAAATATGCTGATGTTCCCTTGAGCAAGGCACTTAACTCCAATTGCTCATGTAAGTTGCTCTGGATAATAGCGCTGCCAAATGACTAAAATGTAAACGCCAACATGAATATGTTGATTGTTGACCCATCTTCTGCTTTATTTGTCTTCTCTTTCTTCATCCCTCTCTCCTCGATCTCTCTCTTATTGTCTCCCCATCCACCTCTCCCTCTCAGGTCCTATGTCCACCCCTATGAGGAGGGGGGGCTCTCCATACTCCCAGTATGGCATGATGGGAGGGGAGGGGCTAGGCATGCCCCCCCAGGGGGACAACTGGCACCGTACTCCTGGAAACAAGATGGGCTCCAAGCCCCAGGGCACGTCCAGCTGGCCTCCTGGTGCGTGGCCGTTCTAAATACCAACTGAATGTGCAGGATTTTGTTCTATCCAACCACTAACACACCTGATTTGACCAAATCCCCTGAAAGTTAGTGTTCGCATGGAACAAAAGCCTGCAACACCCTGTAGCTCTCTGTGTTAAGTCGATGAGGTGGCTTCATCTGTTTGTTCTGAAGTAAAAAATCCAGAATTCCTGTTTGTCTGTGATGTCAGAGTTCCAGCCCGGCGTGCCCTGGAAGGGGATCCAGAGCATCGACCCCGAGTCTGACCCCTACATGACCCCAGGGAGCATGATGGGAATCCCTGGGCCATCCAGCCTCAACGACACCGAGCACCAGTTGCTAAGAGACAACACAGGTACCTACCGAGACTCAAGCAGTTACTCCTGTATCTATGACTAAGTCCACGTTCCGAGCACCTGTTGCTAAGAGACCAGCTGACCTGACATATTGCGTAACAATAACACATTACATAAGTATGCTGTCATCAGCCCTCGTGTCCTCACAAAGTGAAAGAAACTAGTATACCACTAAAATCATATCCATCATTGCATGCACCAGTCAGTTAAACATCAAGTTGTGTTAATATTGTACTGTATCTTTCTAGATCAGGGATGGACAACTGGCAGCCCATGGACCAATTTCATTTTTAAATTATTTTTTTTAAAACAGTCCAACTTACTGTTGAGAGTTAGAATAATAGAATACACAAGTTGTGCATCAGCAGTCACTCAATTAGCCCAAGTCAGCAAAATGTCTTTAGATTGGTAAGATAGTCTTCCGGCCAGCTATCTAAACTTGTAGTAAGCATGGTCGAATTACAGACCGGGGTGGGGCCCATTGATCATCAGTTATCATATTAAAAACGGCAAACATTTGCCTCCACCCTATGGCAAAATGTGTAGAATTGCATGAAATTTACTTCAAAACGTTTTTTATATTCGCTGTCACGAGGGGGGCCGCTAAAAATGTTTTTCTCGCAAGGTGGGGGGTATGGATGTGGGTACGCAGACCCACGAGCCACTGCGGCCCCTCATGATGAGTTATTTTTTATTAATTTTTTGGCCCCCACCCCATCATAGTTGCCCATCCCTGTTCTAGATGGTGTGTTGATGCTAGCTAAGCTAATAGTGTGTGTGTTCCAGAACCCAACCCCTCCCTGAACACCTTGCTGCCTTCACCTGATGCCTGGCCCTACAGTGCCTCAGACAGCCCCCTCAACAACGCACACAACTCGGGTAACAGACTGGAAAACACTCACTGTAACACTATGAATGTGCTATGTATGCTTTATGAATGTGCTATGAAGTCCTAAGATGCCTTTCACCAAAAGAGGTTTGTAAATTCACTCTGGCTATCTACTCCGATTTCAGAGCACTCTCGTCTGAGTGTGCTAGAGCTGCAGAATAATGAATGAATTTACAAACGCTCAACACCCGTTGAATATGGCCGGTGACAGTAAACCTTGCCAAAAAAGCGTAATTAAATTGTTGCCAGCAGCACAGTTAGTCATCAACGCTCTGGATAACACGAAAACAGCCTAACCAGCTCTGCTAGGGCGAGTAAAATGGTCAGTGAGCTGTTCTCTCATTTGTGTCTGGAAGTAGCTAGCTTGGGTGCTTGACTGCCTTTGTGAGGTCAGAACGCTCGGATCAACCCTACTCCTCGCCCAGAGCGTCCAGTGTGCGCTCTGAACGCTCCAAGAGCGAAATGCTCTGAATTTACGAACACCCAGCGCGCACTCTGGCACTGCAGAGTGAATTTACGAACACACCCAAAACATTCTCCTGGTGTTCGAAATATACACTCTGCTTTTCCATCTATTTACTCTCTGATGTTGTCTCTGTCATTCAGGGTGTCAAGTTTCAACTGTTTATCTTGAGTTTAGTCTGGCTGTGTTCCATCCTGCTGTTATACAGACCCAGGTCTGACTAGTTCATTTCCTGTTGCCCATAGCAAAGTACACAGAGTACAAGACCAGCTGGCCCCCTGAGCCCATTGGACATAACAAGATGTGGAAGACCAATCGCAACCAACAGTCCCAGCAGCTGCCACGCCCACCCCCGGGACTCAGCAATCAGAAGCAGGCCTCGCCATCCCGCGGCCCGTGGCAGGCCCGTGGCTGGGGCAGCGCGAGCGGGAGCCAGGAAACCAGATATGGCCCTGGTAATGTCATAACACGGTGTTGTGTTTCTGAGTCTTTCCACCCTGTACTGTTCTGTCCTGCCTGCTGCCTTGTGAAGTATTCATCAGATTAAATGTAACCAGCATGTCTGTTGCCGTGATCTGATTCAACATCCCAAATGTCACACTATTCCCTATGGGCCCTGGTCAATAGTAGTGCACTATCAAGGGAATAGGGTGCCATTTGGGACGTAGACCCAGAGAAATTGCATAGCTAGGTGGTTAGGACTTAGAACCCATTTATATTTTATTCACCAAGCTTAAAGTACAGTAGGGCTTATTTATCATTCATTGCTCCAGAGCTGCCTGCCGCAGGTACAGAGGTAGGGGTTGTCTAATATGTGGAACTGATCCCTGTGTGTGGTTTGAATCTAACAGGCTCTGCTTGGAGTGATGGGGGGACCTCCAGAGGAAGCTGCTGGCTGGTGCTCTGCAACCTCACTCCACAGGTATACACACACCATTCCTCAGGACAACAGACACACACACACACACACACACACACACACATCATCCCTCATCAAGACTACACAAACACACACCATTCCTCAGGACAACAGACACACACACATCATCCCTCATCAAGACTACACAAACACACACCATTCCTCAGGACAACAGACACACACACACGCAAGTGCACACATACAGCATCACTTCTCTTGCACATATCACCTCTACCACACAAGTCATCCCTAACCCCATTCCCTCCATGTTGTCCCCTCCTGCAGATCGACGGCTCCACCCTCCGTACCATCTGTATGCAGCATGGCCCCCTGCTGACCTTTCACCTCGGCCTGACCCAGGGCAGCGCTCTGATTCGCTACAGCACCCCACAGGAAGCTGCCAAGGCCCAGAGCGCGCTACACATGTAAGCCCCTCCTCTCAGCATGTCAATCATCCTCCGTGGTGAGGTTCTGTAGATGAACAGGCACCAGCTCCACAGTGTTTTCCACTGCCGGCTGTCTGCTTTACAGACGATTACAGACTCATTTTCAGCCGGATACTTTTTCCACTTAAATTAACTGGACTACTTTTCAATTCGCTAGTCAGAAAAAAGTCTGCTGAACCCTCTCCCGCTAGAATGAACGATATGCATCTTCTAGCGATCTGCTGATAGGACGGTCACAAAGTGAGTGATGACAGGGAAACTGCTGGTTTGACAGTCTGCTGTCTGTCCCGCCTCTCAGTACCTGGGTGTGTGTTGTGGTTGCAGTCGAATTTCTACACAGAGGGAGAGAGCATGAATTTGCACGTCCCATATAATTTGAGTGAATTTCCCATATAATGTGGTAACGATGAGTCGAAATCCACTTACCTCTTGTTTTCTGGCACATGCATTTATTTTCTTTCGCGTGCAGGGTCCGACATTAAAGTTGGGCCAGTGGACCTCATCAGTGGCCAGTAACTTTTCAGCGCATTTTTGCATTCTAGTTCAACATTTACCTGCTCTGTCAGTCTACCATTTGAAGACTACACACGTAAATGTCATGCTATTTGTATTTGAGCAATATGATTGGCCGTTCTTTCAAGCACCACCACTTGATGCCTTCACACAGCACATGTGAGCTGTCCAGAGCAAAAAGAAGCGCCCATCAATCTACTCACTGAGCTTGTTTATTTTAGGGGAAGTAATTTACTAAAGTTAAACCTTCAGTAGTGAACATGCTAGCAATATGCTGGCTACTGTTGATAGTCTGCAAAAAAAGCTTAAAAAAGACAGCATACTGTAGCCATGTCAATATCTATTTTGGAATGTTGGTCTTGAAGGGGCAGTGTCCCATTTTCTAATCTTCTCTAAGTGACATACTTTAGAAACAAAAATGAATGAAATTAATACATCTAAATCCTAAAGAATAGAGTAATGACTTTTATTGCTAATTAATATTACACAGCTTTTTAATACGCATCATAATAACCAAATGTAGCCTATTAATATAGAGAGAAAGCATGCCAACCTACATTTACATTTACGTCATTTAGCAGACGCTCTTATCCAGAGCGACTTACAAATAGGTGCATTCACCTTATAGCCAGTGGGATCACCACTTTACAATGTTTTTTGTTTGTTTTTGGGTTGGGGTTGGGGTTTGGGTTTGGGTTGGGGTAAGGGGGGGGGGGTAGAAGGATTACTTTATCCTATCCCAGGTATTCCTTAAAGAGGTTGGGTTTCAAATGTCTCCGGAAGGTGGTGAGTGACTCCGCTGTCCTGGCGTCGTGAGGGAGCTTGTTCCACCATTTCTTCCAGGACAACCTTGTACGTGGCTTGATTCATGCGTCCTTCACAAAGAAAAATCTGCCCGATTCCAACCTTGCTGAAGCACCCCCCAGATCATCACCGATCCTCCACCAAATTTCACAGTGGGTGCGAGACACTGTGGCTTGTAGGCCTCTCCAGGTCTCTGTCTAACCATTTAGACGACCAGGTGTTGGGCAAAGCTGAAAATTGGACTCATCAGAGAAGATGACCTTACTCCAGTCCTCTACGGTCCAATCCTTATGGTATTTTGCAAACCTCAGCCTGGCTCTTCTTTGCTTCTCATTGATTAAGTAGTCCCGTGTAGCTCAGTTGGTAGAGCATGGCGTTTGCAACGCCAGGGTTGTGGGTTCGTTTCCCACGGGGGACCAGTATGAAAAAAAAAAAATCTATGCACTCACTAACTGTAAGTCGCTCTGGATAAGAGTGTCTGCTAAATGACTAAAATGTAAATGAAGGGCTTTTTTCTAGCTTTGCACGACTTCAGCCCTGCCCCTAGGAGCCTGTTTCGAGCCGTCCTCGCCAGCTGCCGTTTGCCATTCTTTTTGTAGGTCACTTGATGTCATCCTACGGTTGTTGAGTGACATTCGAATGAGTTGGCGGTCATCCCGATCAGTAGAGTCGTTTTCGCCCTCTGCCGGTCTGTAGCTTTGTTGTCCCCAATGTCTGCTGCTTGACCTTGTTCTTATGAACCGCCGTCTTTGAAATTTTAAGGATGGAAGCAACCTGACGCTCACTGTATCCCTCTGCCAGTAAAGCCAGAATTGAACCCTTCTTTTCCTCACTCAAAACTTTCCTTTTCAACTCTTTTGGCATGGTAAATAGTTATTTTTTTATTAATATTACTTTTGAGGTACTATTAGCACTGTTTTTGCCATCCAGCTGGTCCTATTGCAAGAGGATAGTGATGACCACAGCAGTGGTTTTTATACTTTTCCTCGTTAAATAAGATTTGGTTCAGGTGATCACCTACTCAGTACCTAATTCAGTAGAATGAGGTGTGCCTGTGTTGGAATTCAACAGACACTGGAATGGAATGGCTGTCATACATGTAGAGATGCTGATTTAAGAAACATTTGCAGTGGTCTCTTAATTTTTTCCACAGCTGTATATTCTTGCCATTCAAAAATCATACAACGTAGTTACAGTGCATTTGGAAAGTATTCAGACCCCTTGACTTTTTCCACATTGTTACGTTACAGCCTTATTCTAAAATGGATTCAATTGTTTTTTTCCCCTCATCAATCTACGACAAAGTAAAAACATGGTTTTAGAAATGTTAGCAAATGTATTACAAATAAAAAACGGATCACATTTACATAAGTATTCAGACCCTTTACTCAGTACTTTGTTGAAGCACCTTTGGCAGCGATTACAGCCTCGTCGTCTTTGGTATGACGCTACAAGTTTCACACACCTGTATTTGGGGAGTTTCTCTCATTTTTCTCTGCAGATCCTCTCGAGCTCTGTCAGGTTGGATGGGGAATGTCGCTGCACAGCTATTTTCAGGTCTCTCCAGAGATGTTCAAGGCCGGGCTCGGGCTTGGCCACTCAAGTGCATTCAAAGACTTGTCCCGAAGCCACTCCTGCATTGTCTTGGCTGTATGCTTAGGGTCATTGTCCTGTGGGAAGGTAAACCTTCTCCCCAGTCTGAGGTCCTGAGCGCTCTGGAGCAGGTTTTCATCAAGGATCTCTCTGTACTTTGCTCCGTTCATCTTTCCCTCGATCCTGACTAGTCTCCCAGTCCCTGCCGCTGAAAAACATCCCCACAACATGATGCTTCCACTATGCTTCACCGTAGGTATGGTGCCAGGTTTCCTCCAGACTTGACACATTCAGGCCAAAGAGTTCAATCTTGGTTGCCTTTTGGCAAACTCCAAGTGGGCTGCCATGTGCCTTTTACTGAGGAGTGGCTTCAGTCTGGCCACTTTGGCCACTTTACTATAAAGGCCTGATTGATGGGGTGCTGCAGAGATGGTTGTCTTTCTGGAATGTTCTCCCATCTCCACAGAGGAACTCTGGAGCTCTGTCAGAGTGACCATGAAATGTTTTGGTACCCTTCCCCAGATCTGTGCCTCAACACAATCCTGTCTCGGAGCTCTACGGACAACTCCTTCGACCTCATGGCTTGGTTTTTGCTCTGACGTGCACTGTCAACTGTGGGACCTTTATATAGACAGGTGTGTGCCTTTCCAAATCATGTCCAATCAATTGAATTTACCACACGTGGACTCCAAGTTGTAGAAACATCTCAAGGATGATCAAAGGAAACAGGATGCACCTGGGTTCAATTCTGAGTCTCATAGCAAAGGGTCTGAATACTTATGTAAATAAGGTATGTCTGTTTATCTTTGCTAAAATTTCTAAAAACCTGTTTTCGCTTTGTCATTATGGGGTATTGTGTGTAGGTTGATGAGGATTTTAAAAAATGTAATCCATTTTAGAATAAGGCTGTAACGTAACAAAATGTGGAAAAAGTAAAGGGTTCTGAATACTTTCCGAATGCACTGTATATGGTATTTTCAAAGATATAACATAGGCCTACTGATTTAATCAAAGTGTTGAGTGTTGACTGCTGCTTTCTGTGTAGCAAAGCCCATGATTAACACCTGCTTCATTCTTCAATCATACATGTATTGCAGATAGCTCAGAAAATGCCTCTTAAAAGGAAGCTTGAAGCCTGTGGAAGTCAGCAGACTCTTACAGGATTCTTTAAAGGCCCAGTGCAGTCAAAATTATGTTTTTCCTGTGTTTTTCTATCATATTGTACAACAGCTGATGAATCTAACACTCTAAAAGTATGAACAAAAATGTGACCAGCATTATTTTCTGATAGTTGCTGGTTGAAAATGCAATCTAGCATTAAAATGTACCAGAGGCCACTAAAATAGCTTGTTTGGCTAGAATGTTAAGACTAATAGATATTAGCCAGTGAACACAAAACTACATCGAATCACTCCTTACTCTCTCCTCTCTCTCTCTTTCCAGGTGTGTCCTGGGCAATACCACCATCTTGGCCAAGTTTGTGAGCGAGGAGGAGGTTGCTCGCTATTTTGCACATTCCCAGGCGGGAGGGGGAGGGACCAGCGGAGGCCAGGGGGGGTCCACAGGGACAGGTGCAGTGGGAGCCAACAGCAGCGGAGAGAGGGAAAGAGACAGAACCAGAGGAGGAGGAGAGGGCTCTGCCCCTGGAGGGGGAGGAGGCAGCTCGGGCCCCGTCAGCTCTGGCTGGCAGAGTTTGGACAGTACAGGAGGCTGCCTGGATCCTAACCCCACCCAGGGGCCCGGCCTGAGCATGTTTGCCCAATGGAGCAGCAACGGTGCTGGGGTGGCTGGGGGTGTGGAGCCCAGCAGGCAGGTTTTGTGGGGAGGGATGGGGGGTGGAGGGTACCCCAGCAATAGTATGTGGGGGTCCCCTGCCATGGAGGATCGAAACCAGATGGGGAGTCCTGCTGCTCTGCTGCCAGGAGACCTGCTAGGCGGAGGGGCTGATTCCATCTGAATGACCACACCTAATACATGAACCCTACGCGCACACACACACACACACACACACACACACACACACACACACACACAACGAATATACATGCACTTACACATTTTCTCTCACACACATATACACATATACATACATAAACACACACCGATGAAATGACACTAGTCGCAAACATGCAGATCCACTGACGTTAACTCAACATGAATAGACAGTGACATGCCAACACTACATACATACATACATACATACATACATACATACATACATACATACACCTTTTACCTTTAAATGAAGACTTCAACAGCAAGACTTGAACAGACCAAGGTGGAATCTGTTGGACTCACTCTTCTGGATGACTCCTCTTACTTCACCCATTAACCAGAACTCTCACTGAGCATACTGAGATCCTATCACTCAGGCATGCACTGTAGAGAAACCAACAATGTGACAACACATGGAGGTCTTCCTATGTGATGTGTAACAACAACTTCTTACAACACCTCTCTACTACACAAACCTACAGGATGACTTGATTTTACAGCACCGGGCCAGCCGGGCCTACAGTACCTACCTACCTGGCCCAACCCATTCTGACTCTGTTTCTCACCAGTTACACACTGCTATGTCACTGCTATGATGTCTAATGTATCTTGTTGTATGTTGGTTAAATTGTGGAACTAAATCCAAGATGTCCTTTCTCTCTTTTTTTAGTTTTTCGTTCGAAATGCTGACCTCGTTATGTTTTATTACTCAATCAAGTTGGTTGTTATAATGCCATGCTGATGAGGACTGATCACCTGATTACTAGCTGTACAAGGTGCCCTCATACCTGCCTGTGTAACTGTGCATGAGAGGAGTGACGGGATGATGATGATGATGATATTGGGAGGCGTCTGGGTGTGTTTAACAGCTAAGGCGAGGCGATGCAACAACCAATTGTTGCGTTCCACGTCATCGACTGACAAATTGTTAAAACATTAAGTGGTTAGCTGATACTTAAAATACCTATCCAGGCGTTGTAAGATCTGTCAGGCATCGGCAACGTCCAAGTATAGGAACGCGCCCTATGTGTGTCGTTGCCGTGGTGAATGCGTTTTGACGATGAGAACATGATTAAGAAGCGTGTGCTGGTGGTGTGTGTGTGAGAGAGAGAGTGTGTGTGTGTCTGAAACAGGGAGGTGAATGTTTGTGTGACCGCTTACATCAGGTGTTCCGTGTGTGTACTTGATTAAAGTGAATGCAAGTGTGTGTGTGTGTGTGTGTGTGTGTGTGTGTAGCTGGAAGTTCAACAACATAGGCACTAATGCATATTTCTCTTAAATTGTGGTTTTAGCATAATTTTTCTTTGGTCTGAATTGCAATAATAAAAGATTTTTTTAAAGAAGCAACCAACTGAAGGCATCCATGTTAAGATGCCAAAACCTACCAAACCAAGCAGAGCTGGAGCAGTGTTTTTCAAACACGTTAAAGTTACCAATTGTAAAATGTTTTGTTGTGTATCAATTTAAATTAAGGCAGGCTTTATCACTCCTGTTCAGGTTATTTTTGTTTGTTTTCAGATTTTACAAAGGATAACATTTTAATTTAAGCAAACAAGAACAAGACAATAAAGGTTGTATTAAAGTCTTGGGTTGTCATTGTGTCACAGTGATTTGAACCACACCACTACTTCAGTGACCTATTGTCTTGACTGAACATCATGGCTGCTCTGTAAACCTTTACTATGGTCAATCTATTGGTTCTTTCAAGACCATTCGAAACCTCCGAGTAAAATGTTTTATTGCATAGAGCGAGGTTCATATTGGTTGATTCTGATACTTTCCAAGTGGGAAACGTGGCGCTCAAGGAAGAGAAGAAAGGATGCATTTTCACAGTGTTCAGGTTATTTTCTCAACAACATAAAGTTGAAACGTCCATAGATGTCATGTAAGTGGGTATTCACTTCAGAACCACTTAATCATGTAATAGGTAGGAGGCGTGCGATTTTATCATGATCTCTTAGGTTGGTGGTGCAGTGCAAAGCTCCATTCATACTGCTGTAGAATGTTGACGATGTTTATTTTGCTCCATACATTTTAGTCATTTAGCAGACGCTCTTATCCAGAGCGACTTACAGTTAGTGCATACATTTTTTTCTCCATGTTTTTTTCTTCATACTGGTCCCCGGTGGGAAACGAACCCACAATCCTGGCGTTACAAACGCCATGCTCTACCAACTGAGCTGCCCTCAAATGTCCATTCACATAAATTCATCATGACATAACCCAATGCATAGACACAAAAACTAGAACGCTTTCAGTAGAATGAGTAGCACTAGCAGCCTTGGAAAGTGCTCTAGCTCACGACATTCACAACAGTGGAACAACAACAGGGCGGCAGTTAGCCTAGCGATTAAGAGCGTTGGGCCAGTAACCGAAAAGTCACCGGTTCGAATCCCTGAGCCAACTAGGTGAAAAATCTGTCGATGTGCCCTTGAGCAAAGCACTTAACCCTAATTGCTCTTGTAAGATAAGTGCGTTGCTAAATTACTAAAATGTACATGTAACAGCTGCGTTAGGCGCGCGGTGTCTTTAAGGCAATCCGGGCATTTTCTTATGGTCTGTGCTGAATGACATCATTGATATTGTCAATGGTGTAATAACACGAGCGAGAGGGGGATACCTGGATTTCTGAGTTTACACTAAAATATCTGTAATTCGCAGTGCAGACTAGACCAGACTATACCGCGGGACGTTGAAATCTGGGTCAGGACGGCGTTGAGGAATGGTTCGTAAAACGCCGCGGCCGTCTTTCTCTGTCCATGGTGCTGTTTGAATGATACATTCCTGATCAGCACCACCGTGGAAGGAAGGCAGCAGTCCCTGAAGAGCTTGATCAAACGGGTGAGGAGGGGATGAAAGGCACGGGTCCACTGGTAAATCAGGGGGAATTGTGTTTGTCTGGAGGGGAGTAGTTTGTGGTTGGGGCTTGTACAGGGACCCAAACAAGCGAGTCAGAAGGTAGGTTAATAGTTTTTCTTGACGGAGGTTTTCCCAAGCCAAGGGTGCGGCTTTCTGCAAATATTGACAATAAACGCAACCTGAATGCGAATGTTTCTAATGTAGGCCTAATTATATTAATTACACTTTTGGATAGGTTTCATCTAGCTTCTCAGGTCTGGTTTACGCTGTTAGATCTGCAGTAAATGACGTTGTTGCCCCTGGCATCTTGCTGTGGAGCAGCGCTACAACCTTGCAACAAGAATAGGGCTGGATTTTGTAATAGGCTTATAGGGTAGGCTAGGCTACTTACCGTAGACAGACTTGCATTCATGAACAAGAGTTTGACCTTAATTATGTCCGTTTTACAGTGTAAAATGATCATGGTAAGATTATAATAAGGGATTGCATGTAGTTCCTATAGATGTAGGATCTTAATGTGATCACCCTGTTGCAGGACAACTTTCCTGCAATGCAGGAAATTTAAAACTTGTAGTATATTTGAGGTTTAAAAAGGCTTCTGAAGTTTGTAATTTCCACTGACATTTCAGACTTGATTTTCCCTTTCGAAAAATGTATCAACCCCTACAACAAATGTCCATTAATTATAATCCACATTATAATTATAATTCACATTTACTCTTGCTGCAGGATTATTTTCCTGGCTCAAATTAAGATCCAACATTTGTGTAATTTATCATTACCTTGCTTCATCTTCACCTTCTATCGATGTTAGGATTCATCCCATCTCATCCACCACCATTATGTATGACTGTAGAATATTAGAATAGAATAGAATGGAACTGTATTAGTTCATCTGTACTAATCTGTTTAGTGTTCATCTACTCACAACCTTTCCAGATAAGACACCAGCAGGGCATATGGGTGCACTGCCCTTACAAAGCATAAATAGAAATGCCAATTAAACACATTTACCATCTTTATCATTAGTGTGCCTTAGCTATGTATGTATTTAAACACCACCACAGCCATTTTCCATAGTAAACTTATCCATGTATTGTGATTGGGAAAGCATGTACAAGGCTATCTGGAAGAAAATGTGTTTCACTTAATTTCTTTGGGGATTATTAGGTTATGCTAATTGTTTGTGTATGTGCTGATTTCCTTTGAAGTGAGATGGCATGTGTGAGATGGGGGCTGGTTTAAAGTGCTGAATTCACATTCACACTGAGTTTTCCCCTGCACTTGCCCTCTCCCAGAGTCATGATACACAGCTCTTTCAAATCCATAGCTAAATCACCCAACTTTCTTCCATGAAGTAAAAAAAACAACTTTTTTTAAATCAAAATTTTAACCACACTTTTTTCCCACTCCCACTCGCACTATTTTGGCTTAAATAATGTTTTGTCCTTTCTCCATCCCTGACTCGGTCTTAATTTTGGGCCTTCTCTTGTCCCAGCTCTCATTTTTGTAACAAATTCTCCCTTTTGTAACATCTTATTTGAGTTGGAGCCCCTTGAGATTGAGGTGGAACTGGGCTGAGTCACATCGTCCTTCTGCTAAATCGATCTACAGTTTGATTGAGTTTGTGTGTCCTCCTGTGTGTCTGCCCCCTCAGTGAGTTGTGAAGACCAGCAGGAAACATGGAGCTGAGAGTGGGGAACAAGTACCGTCTCGGCAGGAAGATCGGGAGCGGCTCTTTTGGAGACATTTACCTGGGTAAAGACCATCGATTTAATGCAGCTCTAACTCTACTTATTCTCACAAACCTCTAAATAAACAGACTCCAGAGTAGACTGCCTTCCATACTAACGTTCAATTCTGTCCCAACACATTTCACCATTGAACACGTCAAAGCTGGGCATAAAAATAAAATATTGTTTCAGAGTAGGCCATGGTGATTGCATCATCAAAAAGGTGGTCATGGTATATGTCCCTTCCTGTGTCTCTGTCAGGTGTTAACATCGCCACGGGTGAGGAGGTGGCCATTAAGCTAGAATGTGTGAAGACCAAACACCCACAACTCCACATCGAGAGCAAGTTCTACAAGATGATGCAGGGAGGAGGTGAGAGAGGAGTAGGACAAGAGGGTGTGGTCAGGGGTGGGGGTGGTGGGCGACTAATGTTGGGGAAACCCTAACCTGAAACCTGAAGACTTGCGTTGGTTTTTCAAGCTAATGCCAAGGCTTTTGCTTAGAGGGCTAACTCAGTTTTGTGGCACGTAGGACCTGTGACCGAACCCCGGTCAGTGACACTAGCTTATAAATCACTCTCTCTCTTCCTTTCTCTACAGTGGGCATCCTTATAAATCACCCTCTCCCTTCCTTTCTCTACAGTGGGCATCCTTATAAATCACTCTCTCTCTTCCTTTCTCTACAGTGGGCATCCTTATAAATCACCCTCTCCCTTCCTTTCTCTACAGTGGGCATCCTTATAAATCACTCTCTCCTTCCTTTCTCTACAGTGGGCATCCTTATAAATCACTCTCTCCTTCCTTTCTCTACAGTGGGCATCCTTATAAATCACTCTCTCCTTCCTTTCTCTACAGTGGGCATCCTTATAAATCACTCTCTCCTTCCTTTCTCTACAGTGGGCATCCTTATAAATCACTCTCTCCTTCCTTTCTCTACAGTGGGCATCCTTATAAATCACTCTCTCCTTCCTTTCTCTACAGTGGGCATCCTTATAAATCACTCTCTCCTTCCTTTCTCTACAGTGGGCATCCTTATAAATCACTCTCTCCTTCCTTTCTCTACAGTGAGCATCCTTATAAATCACTCTCTCCTTCCTTTCTCTACAGTGGGCATCCTTACAAATCACTCTCCTTCCTTTCTCTACAGTGGGCATCCTTATAAATCACTCTCTCCTTCCTTTCTCTACAGTGGGCATCCTTATAAATCACTCTCCTTCCTTTCTCTACAGTGGGCATCCTTATAAATCACTCTCTCCTTCCTTTCTCTACAGTGGGCATCCTTATAAATCACTCTCCTTCCTTTCTCTACAGTGGGCATCCTTATAAATCACTCTCTCCTTCCTTTCTCTACAGTGGGCATCCTTATAAATCACTCTCTCCTTCCTTTCTCTACAGTGGGCATCCTTATAAATCACTCTCTCCTTCCTTTCTCTACAGTGGGCATCCCATCCATAAAGTGGTGTGGTGCAGAGGGAGACTACAACGTGATGGTGATGGAGCTGCTAGGCCCCAGTCTGGAGGACCTGTTCAACTTCTGCTCCCGCAAGTTCAGCCTCAAGACTGTCCTGCTGCTGGCTGACCAGATGGTACAGCACACCATTTCCTCCTCCTCCTTCTCCTCATCACATTTACATTTTAGTCATTTATCAAATGCTCTTACCCAGAGCGACTTCCAGTTAGTGCATTCATCTTAAGATAGCTAGGTGGGACAACCACATATCACATTCATAGTAAGTACATTTTTCCTCAATAAAATAGCTATCAGCAAAGTCAGAGCTAGTAAGGGGAGAAAAAGTCAAGTGTGATTGTTAGTTCACAAAGGCATTCATCTTGACGAACTGAAGTAAGAACAGACGAAGAAGAAAAGAAGAGACAAGAAAGAAGGAAGCAGGAAGAGAAGAAGAAGGACGAAAAGAAGAAGAAAAAGAGACGAAAAAGCCAAGGAGGAGGAGGAGGAGGAGGAGAGAGGAGGAGGAGGAGCGAGGATAGAAGAGGAGAAAGAGGTTCTCCTCCAGGAGGAGGAGAAGAAGACCCTAGCAGACCTAAGACTCCATCTCTCTTCTTCTTCTTCTTATTCTTCTCTCTTTTCTTCTCTTCTTCTTCTCTTCTTCTTCTAGCTTCTGCTTCTCCTCCTACTCCTCCTCCTCCTCCACAACCTCTGTTCACCTTTTTTATCATATCATATGGTTTCTCTGTAAGCTTTATTGTGATGGCATTTTCAAAGGATACCCCTTGATTATACACTGAGTGTACAAAACATTAGGAACACATTCCTAATATTGAGTTATTGCACCCTCCCCTTTTGCCCACAGAACAGCTTCAATTCGTTGGGACATGGACTCTACAAGGTGTCGAAAGCGTTCCACAGGGATGCTGGCCCATGTTGACTCCAATGCTTCCCACGGTTGTGTCAAGTTGGCTGGATGTCCTTTGGGTGGTCAACCATTCTTGATACACATGGGAAACTGTTTAGCATGAAAACCCAGCAGCATTGCAGTTCTTGACACATTCAAACCGGTGCGCCTGGCACCTACTACCATACCCCGTTCAAAGGCACTTAAATCTTTTGTCTTGCCCATTCACCCTCTGAATGGCACACATATATAATCCATGTCTCAATTGTCTCAAGGCTTAAAAATCCTTCTTTAACCTGTCTCCTCCCCTTCATCTACACTGATTGAAGTGGATTTAACAAGTGACATCAATAAGGGATCATAGCTTTCACCTGGATTCACCTGGTCAGTCTGTCAAGGAAAGAGCAGGTGTTCTTAATGTTTTGTACACTCAGTGTATAACGTTAGTGGCTTTAAGAACTGGAACTGACAATGATAGTCAACATTCCCTCTCTCCTTTCCCCCTCTTTCTCCATGACCTTTCTCCTCTCCAGATCAGCCGTATTGAGTACATCCACTCTAAGAACTTCATCCACAGAGATGTGAAGCCTGACAACTTCCTGATGGGCCTGGGCAAGAAGGGTAACCTGGTGTACATCATCGACTTTGGCCTGGCCAAGAAGTACCGTGACGCCCGCACACACCAGCACATTCCCTACCGCGAGAACAAGAACCTGACCGGCACCGCGCGCTACGCATCCATCAACACACATCTGGGGATAGGTACAGTACTACATGTAATATTAACAGTGTGTGTGTGTGTGTGTGTGTGTGTGTGTGTGTGTTTGACCCTTCATAGGCTGTGTGTTTAGTCATGGCTGGATTCTCAGAACTACTGCAGTAGGACTCTCACAAGTATTGCCCCTTCTCTATCCCCTCTCTCTTCCTCCTTCCTCCCTCACTTCCCTCTCTCTTCCTCCTTCCTCCCTCACTCCCCTCTCTCTTCCTCCTTCCTCCCTCACTCCCCTCATTCCCCTTTCTCTTCCTCCTTCCTCCCTCACTCCCCTCTCCTCTCCTCTTCCTCCTCTATTCTCCTCTCCTCTCCTCTTCCTCCTCTACAGTTATACATATTGTTTTGTTTTGTTTGAAATAAGATCAGTATAGTGTGTCTCCTCTTTCCTCTCCTCTCTCTCCCCCTCTCTCCTCCCCCCCCCCCTCTCTCCCTCAACAGAGCAGTCTCGTCGTGATGACCTGGAGTCTCTGGGTTATGTCCTGATGTACTTCAACCTGGGCTCTCTGCCCTGGCAGGGCCTCAAGGCCGCCACCAAGAGGCAGAAGTACGAACGCATCAGCGAGAAGAAGATGTCCACCCCTATCGAGGTGCTCTGCAAGGGATACCCCTGTAAGTAGCTGAAGTCTGATCTCTGATTGATAGGGTTTCTTTATCCTGAGTTTACAACACTAACTATGAGTGTGTTTGTGTTAGTTTTGTTAGAAACTCACTTCAAGTAGTCTTTCAACACCAAGCTAACTCAGTGTATTTGACCCAAGTCTTTGGTGACCCTCTGTGGCCCACTCTATCCACAGCTGAGTTCTCCACCTACCTGAACTTCTGTCGCTCTCTGCGATTCGATGACAAGCCAGACTACTCGTACCTGAGACAGCTGTTCAGAAACCTGTTCCACAGACAGGGCTTCTCCTACGACTACGTCTTCGACTGGAACATGCTCAAGTTTGTGAGTACTACATCCAGTGCTTGACTTGGGCAGGAGCTCACCGGAGCTGCGTACTGGCACCTCAAATGTTCTACTGCTTGAGCTCCTGTTCCTCTTATAGAATATTAGCTGAAAAGTATTGTGGAGCTCCTGCACCTAAATATAAACAGTATCAGCACCCAAAATGAGTACCGGCACCTATTTCAGTCCAAGTCTAGAACTGACTGCATCCCTATGAACAATTATTACACTTCTATTAATAATTTATTAACCATTGATCTATTTTGAGTCCTTATTTTTCATTAAATTTTCACTAATTCTAAATGCAATTACACATGAGTTATATATTACATTAACACAGTTGATAATATAAACTTAAACATGGTTCATTTTGAATCCCTGCCACCTTTCCTAACCTGCATGTTCGTTCTTTTTGCTTCAGGGGGCCAGCAGGACAGCCGAAGATGGGGAGAGGGAGAGGAGAGAGGGAAAGGAGGGGGATGAGAGGATCGGAGGGGGACCCCGTGCCCTACCCCCGGGCGGCAACCCCCTGGGCGGCGTAGACAGGATCCGAAATGGCCCCAATGCAGCAGCCTCTAAACCTGCCTCCAGAGGAGTCCCCCAGTCAGGTGAATCATGAGGTAGACAGTAACCAGCCTCCAGAGGAGTCCCAGTCAGGTGAGTCATGAGACAGACAGTAACCCTGCCTCCAGAGGATTTCCACAGTCAGGTGAGTCATGAGGCAGACAGTAACCCTGCCTCCAGAGGAGTCCCAGTCAGGTGAGTCATGAGGCAGACAGTAACCCAGCCTCCAGAGGATTTCCACAGTCAGGTGAGTCATGAGGCAGACAGTAACCCTGCCTCCAGAGGAGTCACAGTCAGGTGAGTCATGAGGCAGACAGTAACCCAGCCTCCAGAGGAGTCCCAGTCAGGTGAGTCATGAGGCAGACAGTAACCCTGCCTCCAGAGGAGTCACAGTCAGGTGAGTCATGAGGCAGACAGTAACCCTGCCTCCAGAGGAGTCCCAGTCAGGTGAGTCATGAGGCAGACAGTAACCCTGCCTCCAGAGGAGTCCCACAGTGAGGTGAGTCATGAGGCAGACAGTAACCCTGCCTCCAGAAGAGTCACAGTCAGGTGAGTCATGAGGCAGACAGTAACCCTGCCTCCAGAGGAGTCCCAGTCAGGTGAGTCATGAGGCAGACAGTAACCCAGCCTCCAGAGGATTTCCACAGTCAGGTGAGTCATGAGGCAGACAGTAACCCTGCCTCCAGAGGATTTCCACAGTCAGGTGAGTCATGAGGCAGACAGTAACCCTGCCTCCAGAGGAGTCACAGTCAGGTGAGTCATGAGGCAGACAGTAACCCTGCCTCCAGAGGAGTCCCAGTCAGGTGAGTCATGAGGCAGACAGTAACCCAGCCTCCAGAGGAGTCCCAGTCAGGTGAGTCATGAGGCAGACAGTAACCCTGCCTCCAGAGGAGTCACAGTCAGGTGAGTCATGAGGCAGACAGTAACCCTGCCTCCAGAGGAGTCCCAGTCAGGTGAGTCATGAGGCAGACAGTAACCCTGCCTCCAGAGGAGTCCCACAGTCAGGTGAGTCATGAGGCAGACAGTAACCCTGCCTCCAGAAGAGTCACAGTCAGGTGAGTCATGAGGCAGACAGTAACCCTGCCTCCAGAGGAGTCCCCCAGTCAGGTGAGTCATGAGGCAGACAGTAACCCTGCCTCCAGAGGAGTCCCAGTCAGGTGAGTCATGAGGCAGACAGTAACCCAGCCTCCAGAGGAGTCCCAGTCAGGTGAGTCATGAGGCAGACAGTAACCCAGCCTCCAGAGGAGTCCCAGTCAGGTGAGTCATGAGGCAGACAGTAACCCTGCCTCCAGAGGAGTCCCGGTCAGGTGAGTCATGAGGCAGACAGTAACCCTGCCTCCAGAGGAGTCCCGGTCAGGTGAGTCATGAGGCAGACAGTAACCCTGCCTCCAGAGGAGTCCCAGTCAGGTGAGTCATGAGGCAGACAGTAACCCTGCCTCCAGAGGAGTTCCGGTCAGGTGAGTCACGAGGCAGACAGTAACCCTGCCTCCAGAGGAGTCCCAGTCAGGTGAGTCATGATGCAGACAGTAACCCTGCCTCCAGAGGAGTCCCGGTCAGGTGAGTCATGAGGCAGACAGTAGTAGAAAAAGAAGGTCTACATTCTTGGAATGAAAGTGAAATAATAAGAAACATTTTTATTCCATTTTGACTATAACATTATTTTCATTTGTACTTTAATTCTAAGAGTCCGGACCTTCTCTTTTTCTACTCCTGAGTATCTCAGGTATATGCCCCAATTACTTAGGAGTACTACGAGTGTGCAAGGTTTTTACTTACAGTGCCTTCTGAAAATATTCAGACCCCTTGACTTTTTCCACATTTTGTTACATTACAGCCTTATTCTAAAATGGATTCAATACAAAAACATCCTCAGCAATCTACACACAATACCCCATAATGACAAAGCGAAAACAGGTTTTTAGAACTTTTTGCAAATTTATTAAAAATAAAAACAGGAATACCCTATTTACAGAAATATTCAGCCCCTTTGCTATGATACTCGAAATTGAGCTCAGGTGCATCCTGTTTCCATTGATCATCCTTGATCATCCTTGATATGTGGTAACTTCAATTGCTTGGACATGATTTGGAAAGGCACACACCTGTCTATATAAGGTCCCACAGTTGACAGTGCATGTCAGAGCAAAAACCAAGCCATGAGGTCGAAGGAATTGTCCGTAGAGCTCCGAGACACGATTGTGTCGAGGCACAAATCTGGGGAAGGGTACAAAAAAAATTCTGCAGCATTGAAGGTCCCCAAGAACACAGTGGCCTCCATCGTTCTTACATGGAAGATGTTTGGAACCACCAAGACTCTTCCTAGAGCTGGCCACCTGGCCAAACTGAGCAATCAGAGGAGAAGGGCCTTGGTCAGGGAGGTGACCAAGAACCTGATGGTCACTCTGACAGAGCTCTAGAGTTTGTCTGTGGAGATGGAAGAAACTTCCGAAGGACAACCATCTCTGCAGCACTCCACCAATCAGGCCTTTATGGTAGTGGCCAGACGGAAGCCACACCTCAGTAAAAGGCACATAACAGCCCGCTTGGAGTTTGCCAAAAGGCACCTAAAGACTCTCAGACCATGATAAACAAGATTCGCTGGTCTGATGAAACCAAGATTGAACTCTTTGGCCTGAATGCCAATTGTCACGTCTGGAGGAAACCTGGCATCATCCCTACTGTGAAGCATGGTGGTGGCAGCATCATGCTGCAGGGATGTTTTTCAGCGGCAGGGACTGGGAGACTAGTTAGGATCGAGGCAAAGATGAACGGAGCAAAGTACAGAGAGATCCTTGATGAAAACCTGCTCCAGAGCGCTCAGGACCTCAGACTGGGGCGAAGGTTCACCTTCCAACAGGACAACGACCCTAAGCACACAGCCAAGACAACGCAGGAGTAGCTTCGGGACAAGTCTCTGAATGTCCTTGAGTGGTCCAGCCAGAGCCCGGACTTGAACCCTGAAAATAGCTGTGCAGCAACACTCCCCATCCAACCTGACAGAGCTTGAGGGGAGCTGCAGAGAAGAATGGGAGAAACTCCCCAAATACATTTACATATACATTTACATCATTTAGCAGACGCTGTTATCCAGAACGATTTACAAATTGGTGCATTCAACTTATGATAGCCAGTGGGACAAACACCTTTTTTATTTGTTTTATTTTTATGGGGGGGTGGGGATAGAAGGATTACTTTATACTATTCCAGGTATTCCTTAAAGAGGTAGGGTTTCAAGTGTCTCCAGAAGGTGGTCAGAGACTCCGCTGTCCTGGCGTCGTGGGGGAGCTTGTTCCACCATTGGGGTGCCAGAGCAGCAAATAGCTTTGACTGGGCTGAGCAGGAACTGTGCTTCCGTAGAGGTAGGGGAGCTAGCAGGCCAGAGGTGGATGAACGTAGTGCCCTCGTTTGGGTGTAGGGTCTGATCAGAGCCTGAAGGTAAGGAGGTGCCGTTCCCCTCACAGCTCCGTAGGCAAGCACCATGGTCTTGTAGTAGATGCGAGCCTCAACTGGAGGCCAGTGGAGTGTGCGGAGGAGCGCGTGATATGAGAGAACTTGGGAAGGTCGAACACCAGACTGGCTGCAGCGTTCTGGATAAGTTGTAGGGGTTTAATGGCACAGGCAGGGAGCCCAGCCAACAGCGAGTTGCAGTAATCCAGACGGGAGATGACAAGTGCCTGGATTAGGACCTGTGCCGCTTTCTGTGTAAGGTAGGGTCGTACTCTGCGAATGTTGTAGAGCATGAACCTGCAGGATCGGGTCACCGCTTTGATGTTAGCGGAGAACGACAGGGTGTTGTCCAGGATCACGCCAAGGTTATTTGCACTCTGGGAGGAGGACACAATGGAGTTGTCAACCGTGATGGCGAGATCATGGAGCGGGCAGTCCTTCCCCGGGAGGAAGAGCAGCTCCGTCTTGCTGAGGTTCAGCTTGAGGTGGTGGTCCGACATCCACACTGATATGTCTGCCAGACATGCAGAGATGCGATTCGCCACCTAGTTATCAGAAGGGGGAGAGGAGAATATTAACTGTGTGTCGTCTGCATAGCAATGATAGGAGAGACCATGTGAGGATATGACAGAGCCAAGTGACTTGGTGTATAGAGAGAATAGGAGAGGGCCTAGAACTGAGCCCTGGGGGACACCAGTGGTGAGAGCACGTGGTGCAGAGACAGATTCTCGCCACACCACCTGGTAGGAGCGACCTGTCAGGTAGGACGCAATCCAAGAGTGAGCAGCTCCGGAGATGCCCAACTCGGAGAGGGTGGAGAGGAGGATCTGATGGTTCACAGTATCAAAGGCAGCGGATAGGTCTAGAAGGATAAGAGCAGAGGAGAGAGAGTTAGCTTTAGCAGTGCGGAGAGCCTCCGTGACACAGAGAAGAGCAGTCTCAGTTGAATGACCAGTCTTGAAACCTGACTGGTTTGGATCAAGAAGGTAATTCTGAGAGAGATAGCAGGAGAGTTGGCTAGAGTAGCCGATGTGAGTAAGACTTTTAAGCAGGGCAACATTCACAAGGCCGCAGGGCCAGACGGATTACCAGGACGTGTACTCCGAGCATGTGCTGACCAACTGGCAAGTGTCTTCATTGACATTTTCAACATGTGCCTGACTGAGTCTGTAATACCAACATGTTTCAAGCAGACCACCATAGTCCCCGTGCCCAAGGACTCTAAGATAACCTGCCTAAATGACTACCGACCCGTAGCACTGACGTCTGTAGCCATGAAGTGCTTTGAAAGGCTGGTCATGGCTCACATCAACACCATTATCCCAGAAACCCTAGACCCACTCCAATTTGCATACCGCCCCAACAGATCCACAGATGATGCAATCTCTATTGCACTCCACACTGCCCTTTCCCACCTGGACAAGAGGAACACGTACGTGAGAATGCTATTCATGGACTACAGCTCAGCATTCAACACCATAGTGCCCTCAAAGCTCATCACTAAGCTAAGGATCCTGGGACTAAACACCTCCCTCTGCAACTGGATCCTGGACTTCCTGACGGGCCCCCCCCCCCAGGTGGTAAGGGTAGGTAACAACACATCTGCCACACTGATCCTCAACACGGGGGCCCCTCAGGGATGCGTGCTCAGTCCCCTCCTGTACTCCCTGTTCACCCATGACTGCATGGCCAGGCACGACTCCAACACCATCATTAAGTTTGCTGACGACACAACAGTGGTAGGCCTGATCACCGACAACGATGAGACAGCCTATAGGGAGGAGGTCAGAGACCTGGCCGTGTGGTGCCAGGATAACAACCTCTCCCTCAACGTGACCAAGACAAAGGAGATGATTGTGGACTACAGGAAAAAAAAGAGGACTGAGCACGCCCCCATTCTCATCGACGGGGCTGTAGTGGAACAGGTTGAGAGCTTCAAGTTCCTTGGTGTCCACATCACCAACGAACTATCATGGTCCAAACACACCAAGACAGTCGTGAAGAGGGCACGACAAAGCCTATTCCCCCTCAGGAGACTGAAAAGATTTGGCATGGGTCCTCAGATCCTGACTGGTTGCATCACCGCCTGGTATGGCAACTGCTTGGCCTCCGACCGCAAGGCACTACAGAGGGTAGTGCGTACGGCCCAGTACATCACTGGGGCCAAGCTTCCTGTCATCCAGGACCTCTATACCAGGCGGTGTCAGAGGAAGGCCCTCAAAATTGTCAAAGACTCCAGCCACCCTAGTCATAGACTGTTCTCTCTGCTACCGCACGGCAAGCGGTACCGGAGTGCCAAGTCTAGGTCCAAAAGACTTCTCAACAGCTTCTACCCCCAAGCCATAACACTCCTGAACAGCTAATCATGGCTACCCGGACTATTTGCACTGCTCCCCCCCCCACCCCATCTTTTTACGCTGCTGCTACTCTGTTAATTATTTATGCATAGTCACTTTAACTCTACCCACATGTACATATTACTTCAACTACCTCAACTAGCCGGTGCCCCCGCACATTGACTCTGCACCGGTACCCCCCTGTATATATAGCCTCCCTACTGTTATTTTATTTTACTTCTGCTCTTTTTTTCTCAACACTTTTTTGTTGTTTTATTCTACTTTTTTATTAAAAATAAATGCACTGTTGGTTAAGGGCTGTAAGTAAGCATTTCACTGTAATGTCTGCACCTGTTGTATTCGGCGCATGTGGCCAATAAAATTTGATTTGATTTGATATGATTAGAGACAGCACGCTCAAGAGTTTTGGAGAGAAAAGAAAGAAGGGATACTGGTCTGTAGTTGTTGACATCGGAGGGATCGAGTGTAGGTTTTTTGAGGAGGGGTGCAACTCTCGCTCTCTTGAAGACGGAAGGGACATGGCCAGCGGTCAAGGATGATTTGATGAGCGAGGTGAGGTAAGGGAGAAGTTCTCTGGAAATGGTCTGGAGAAGAGAGGAGGGGATAGGGTCAAGCGGGCAGGTTGTTGGACGGCCGGCCGTCACAAGTCGCAAGATTTCATCTGGAGAGAGAGGGTAGAAAGAAGTCAAAGCATAGGGTAGGGCAGTGTGAGCAGGACCAGCGGTGTCATTTGACTTAACAAACGAGGATCGGATGTCGTCAACCTTCTTTTCAAAATGGTTGACGAAGTCATCCACAGAGAGGGAGGAGGGAGGGGGAGGAGGAGGAGGATTCAGCAGGGAGGAGAAGGTGGCAAAGAGCTTCCTAGGGTTAGAGGCAGAGGCTTGAAATTTAGAGTGGTAGAAAGTGGCTTTAGCAGCAGAAACAGAGGAAGAGAATGTAGAGAGGAGGGAGTGAAAAGATGACAGGTCCGCAGGGAGTCTAGTTTTCCTCCATTTCCACTCGGCTGCCCGGAGCTCTCTTCTGTGAGCTCGCAATGAGTTGTCAAGCCACGGAGCAGGAGGGGAGGATAGGGGACATAGAGAGTCAAAAGATGCAGAAAGGGAGGAGAGGAGGGTTGAGGAGGCAGAATCAGGAGATCGGAGGGAGAAGGATTTAGCAGAGGGAAGAGATGATAGGATGGAAGAGGAGAGAGTAGCAGGAGAGAGAGAGCGAAGGTTGCGATGGCACATTACCATCTGAGTAGGGGCAGAGTGAGTAGTGTTGGAGGAGAGCGAGAGAGAAAAGGATACAAAGTAGTGGTCGGAGACTTGGAGGGGAGTTGCAGTGAGATTAGTAGAAGAACAGCATCTAGTAAAGATGAGGTCAAGTGTATTGCCTGCCTTGTGAGTAGGGGGGGACGGTGAGAGGGTGAGGTCAAAAGAGGAAAGGAGTGGAAAGAAGGAGGCAGAGAGAAATTAGTCAAAGGCAGATGTAAGGAGGTTAAAGTCACCCAGAACTGTGAGGGGTGAGCCATCCTCAGGAAAGGAACTTATCAAGGCGTCAAGCTCATTGATGAACTCTCCAAGGGAACCTGGAGGGCGATAAATGAAAAGGATGTTAAGCTTGAATGGGCTAGTGACTGTGACAGCATGGAATTCAAGGAGGAGATAGACAGATGGGTCATACAGGTGTGTCAAGCTTGTAACATCATACGCAAGAAGACTCAATGCTGTAATCGCTGCCAAAGGTGCTTCAACAAAATACTGAGTAAAGGGTCTGAATAATTATGTAAATGTGATATTTCATTTTTTTTTAAAATGTTTTTATAAATTAACAAAAAATTATAAAAACCTGTTTTTGCTTTGTCATTACGGGGTATTGTGTGTAGATTGATGATCCATTTTAGAATAAGGCTGTAACGTAACAAAATGTGGAAAAAGTAAAGGGGTCTGAATACTTTCCGAAGTCACTGTACTTCATAAGGTAGACAGCAAATGACTGTGTAAACACGAGGGAGGGTGTGTAAACTAAACCCCTTGCTGAATTCATGACCCCAGTTTGTAGCCCTCTAGCTGCCCATTAGTCACTTAAAGAATCTGTTGTGTTTGGACTCAGCTGAGGAAACTATGAGGAAACTATGAGGAAACTGAAGAAACTATGAGGAAACTATGAGGAAACTGAAGAAACTATGAGGAAACTATGAGGAAACTATGAGGAAAGTCCAGGGTGTGCAGACTTTTGTTCCAGCCCAGCACTAGATTCCATTTCACCAATAATGTGTGTGTGTGTGTGTGTGTGTGTGTGTGTGTGTAGCGAACCGGTCCCCGCAGGCAGTGTCCCGTGCGGAGCGAGAGAGGAAGGTGGCCATGAGGCTCCACCGCGGCGCCCCCGCCAACATCTCCTCCTCTGACCTCACCGCACAGATGGGCCAATCACGCATTGCCACATCACAGGTCAGCTACCTACCATTGTATATCTCTCTCTCACTCTGCTCCCCTGAATCCCACTGCTCCCCTGAACCATACTGCTCCCCTGAACTCGTCTGCTCCTCTGAACCCCACTGCTCCCCTGAACTCGTCTGCTCCTCTGAACCATACTGCTCCCCTGAACCATACTGCTCCCCTGAACCCCATTGCTCCCCTGAACCATACTGCTCCCCTGAACCCAATTGCTCCCCCACTCTTTCCCTGCTAAAAGTGATTGAAGTTTGTCTGCCTGTGTATGTGAATGTATAGTATGTCTGTTGAATGCACAGCACCTTATACTAACCCTATGCCATCTGTTAACCCCCTCTCCTCTTCTCCAGGTCAGTGTGCCATTTGAACACCTGGGGAAGTGAGCTGCTCCTCTGGCCCTCTGGACACTGGCAGGTAAGGACACGTCAGAGGGACAACACTCAGGGAACTATGGACCAACCCTAACCTGTAACATCAATGCATGATTGAATATAATAGAATATAGACGGGTTGGTTGTTTAGAAACAAAACCTACGCGTGCGCAACTATGGGGCAAAACAGACAGGGTTGGCTTAGATTGGAGACAACATGTAAACTATATTTAGTCTCCAACATTTATTGAAAACATAAATACATTTGCATAATGAGCACTTGTTGTCTCTCAAATACATTGTTACAGTTGTTGGTTAGCTAGCTAGCATATTTTTACGATATTAGCATTGATATGGAATCAGTCAAAACACCTCAAAACAAGACATAATATAATAATAATATATATACTGGTAATAATTATATATACACTACCATTCAAAAGTTTGGGGTCACTTAGATTTTTATTTATTTTTTATTTATTTATTTTTTATTTCACCTTTATTTAACCAGGTAAGCCAGTTGAGAACAAGTTCTCATTTACAACTGCAACCTGGCCAAGATAAAGCAAAGCAGTGCGATAAAAACAACAACACAGAGTTACATATGGGGTAAAACAAAACAAAGTCAAAAATACAACAGAAATAAATATATATACAGTGTGTGCAAATGTAGCAAGTTATGGAGGTAAGGCAATAAATAGGCTATAGTGCAAAATAATTACAATTAGTATTAACACTGGAATGATAGATGTGCAAGAGATGATGTGCAAATAGAGATACTGAGGTACAAATGAGCAAAATAAATAACAATATAGGGATGAGGTAGTTGGGCGGGCTAATTTCAGATGGGCTGTGTACAGGTGCAGTGATCGGTAAGGTGCTCTGACAACTGATGCTTAAAGTTAGTGAGGGAGATAAGTGTCTCCAGCTTCAGAGATTTTTGCAATTTGTTCCAGTCATTGGCAGCAGAGAACTGGAAGGAATGGCGGCCAAAGGAGGTGTTGGCTTTGGGGATGACCAGTGAGATATACCTGCTGGAGCGCATACTACGGGTGGGTGTTGCTATGGTGACCAATGAGCTAAGATAAGGCGGGGATTTGCCTAGCAGTGATTTATAGATGGCCTGGAGCCAGTGGGTTTGGCGACGAATATGTAGTGAGGACCAGCCAACAAGAGCGTACAGGTCACAGTGGTGGGTAGTATATGGGGCTTTGGAGACAAAACGGATGGCACTGTGATAGACTACATCCAATTTGCTGAGTAGAGTGTTGGAGGCTATTTTGTAAATGACATCGCCGAAGTCAAGGATCGGTAGGATAGTCAGTTTTACGAGGGCATGTTTGGCAGCATGAGTGAAGGAGGCTTTGTTGCGAAATAGGAAACCGATTCTAGATTTAACTTTGGATTGGAGATTCTTAATGTGAGTCTGGAAGGAGAGTTTACAGTCTAACCAGACACCTAGGTATTTGTAGTTGTCCACATACTCTAGGTCAGACCCGTCGAGAGTAGTGATTCTAGTCGGGTGGGCGGGTGCAAGCAGCGTTCGGTTGAAGAGCATGCATTTAGTTTTACTAGTGTTTAAGAGCAGTTGGAGGCTACTGAAGGAGTGTTGTATGGCATTGAAGCTCGTTTGGAGGTTTGTTAACACAGTGTCCAATGAAGGGCCAGATGTATACAAAATGGTGTCGTCTGCGTAGAGGTGGATCTGAGAGTCACCAGCAGCAAGAGCGACGTCATTGATATACACAGAGAAAAGAGTCGGCCCAAGAATTGAACCCTGTGGCACCCCCATAGAGACTGCCATAGGTCCAGACAACAGGCCCTCCGATTTGACACATTGAACTCTATCAGAGAAGTAGTTGGTGAACCAGGCGAGGCAGTCATTTGAGAAACCAAGGCTATTTAGTCTGCCAATAAGAATGCGGTGGTTGACAGAGTCGAAAGCCTTGGCCAGGTCAATGAAAACGTCTGCACAGTACTGTCTATTATCGATCGCGGTTATAATATCGTTTAGGACCTTGAGCGTGGCTGAAGTGCACCCATGACCAGCTCGGAAACCGGATTGCATAGCGGAGAAGGTACGGTGGGATTCGAAATGGTCGGTGATCTGTTTGTTAACTTGGCTTTCAAAAACTTTTGAAAGGCAGGGCAGGATGGATATGGGTCTGTAACAGTTTGGATCTAGAGTGTCACCCCCTTTGAAGAGGGGGATGACCGCGGCAGCTTTCCAATCTCTGGGGATCTCAGACGTTACGAAAGAGAGGTTGAACAGGCTAGTAATAGGGGTTGCGACAATTTCGGCGGCTAGTTTTAGAAAGAAAGGGTCCAGATTGTCTAGCCCAGATGATTTGTAGGGGTCCAGATTTTGCAGCTCTTTCAGAACATCAGCTGTCTGGATTTGTGTGAAGGAGAAGCGGGGGGGGGCATGGGCAAGTTGCAGCGGAGGGTGCAGAGCTGGTGGCCGGGGTAGTGGTAGCCAGGTGGAAAGCCAGGTGGAAATGTCCTTGTTTTCCATGAAAACATACATTAAATTAGTTTGAATAGGAAATATAGCAAAATGCATAGGAAATGTAGTCATTGAGAAGGTTAGAAATAATGATTTTTAATATAAACAATAATTGTGTCCTTCAAACTTTGCTTTCATCAAAGAATCCTCCATTTGCAGCAATTACAGCCTTGCAGACCTTTGGCATTCTAGTTGTCAATTTGTTGAGGTAATCTGAAGAGATTTCACCCCATGCTTCCTGAAGCACCTCCCACAAGTTGGATTGGCTTGATGGGCACTTCTTACGTACCATACGGTCAAGCTGCTCCCACAACAGCTCAATAGGGTTGAGATCCGGTGACTGTGCTGGCCACTCCATTATAGACAGAATACCAGCTGACTGCTTCTTCTCTAAATAGTTATTGCATAGTTTGGAGCTGTGCTTTGGGTCATTGTCCTGTTGTAGGAGGAATTTGGCTCCAATCAAGCGCCGTCCACAGGGTATAGCATGGCGTTGCAAAATGGAGTGATAGCCTTCCTTCTTCAAGATCCCTTTTACTCTGTACAAATCTCCCACTTCACCACCACCAAAGCACCCCCAGACCATCACATTGCCTCCACCATGCTTGACAGATGGCATCAAACACTCCTCCAGCATCTTTACATTTGGTCTGCGTCTCACAAATGTTCTTCTTTGTGATCCGAACACCTCAAACTTCGATTCGTCTGTCCATAGCACTTTTTTCCAATCTTCCTCTGTCCATTGTCTGTGTTCTTTTGCCCATCTTAATCTTTTATTTTTATTGGCCAGTCTGAGATATGGCTTTTTCTTTGCAACTCTGCCTAGAATGTCAGCATCCCGGAGTCGCCTCTTCACTGTTGACGTTGAGACTGGTGTTTTGCGGGTACTATTTAATGAAGCTGCCAGTTGAGGACCTGTGAGGCGTCTGTTTCTCAAACTAGACACTCTAATGTATTTCTCCTCTTGCTCAGTTGTGCACCGGGGCCTCCTACTCCTCTTTCTATTCTGGTTAGAGCCAGTTTGCGCTGTTCTGTGAAGGGAGTAGTACACAGCGTTGTTTGAGATCTTCAGTTTCTTGGCAATTTCTCACATGGAATAGCCTTCATTTCTCAGAACAAGAATAGACTGACGAGTTTCAGAAGAAAGTTATTTGTTTCTGGCCATTCTGGCCAATCGAACCCACAATTGCTGATGCTCCAGATACTCAACTAGTCTCAAGAAGGCCAGTTTTATTGCTTCTTTAAATCAGCACAACAGTTTTCAGCTGTGCTAACATAATTGCAAAAGGGTTTTCTAATGATCAATTAGCCTTTTAAAATGATAAACTTGGATTAGCAAACACAACGTGCCATTGGAACACAGGACTGATGGTTGCTGATAATGGGCCTCTGTACGCCTATGTAGATATTCCATAAAAAATCAGCCGTTTCCAGCTACAATAGCCATTTCCAACATTAACAATGTCTACACGGTACTTCTGATCAATTTGATGTTATTTTTTTTATTTTTATAATATGTTTATTATTTTCCAATAAAAATAAAGTAAAAGAGACAGCAATACAAACAATGACATTCATTGTACTAATTTGATGTTATTTTAATGGACAAAATAATTGCTTTTCTTTCGAAAACAATAAAATGTCTAAGTGACCCCAAATTTTTGAACGGTAGTGTATATAATCATAATAATAATATATATAATCATAATATACAGTATAATAATAATAATAATAATAATATGGGCCATTTAGAAGACGCTTTTATACAAAGCGACTTAGTCATGCGTGCATACACTTTATGTATGGGGGGGTGTCGAACCCACGACACTTGGCATTGCAAGCGCCATGCTCTAGTCTACCGTCTTTTCCAGACAGGCCCACTACTCATGTTAGCTCTCAAGTTTGAATTTGCCCCTAAGTATGCTTATGCTTAATTGAATGAAATCTGTTGCAAATGTGTGTAAAACGTGAAGTAAAAACAGTAAATATATTACTGTTTTTTGCAGCCATGGTAGCGGGTATCAATACCTACTCAATTACTTTTGAAATTGTTGGATTAAAAAACATGAGTGGGTCAACTACACTGAAGACGGATTAAAGATGGAAGACAGAAGAGAACAAAAGGAGAGGAAGTTCCAATGGATGTGAGAAGTGAACGCCTGTCCAATATGACTGTAGTTAACTGGGAGAAAATGTGAAAAGATGAACAATTGACAAGTGAAAGACACTCTCTTGGCCTAGCCTTGCTTCCCAGGCTTGTGAGACCTTCCCTTCAGCTGGTGAATGAGTCCTGGTTCACTCTCATTATGCCCGCTATATGATCCGTGGGACCATTCACGTCTCTCAGAAGCTCAATGCGCAAAACAACATGCACATGTCAGTACAAAATGGACAAATTCTGATTATTCTAGCTGTTTTCATCGCTGAGGTGGTGTTGTATGGGCAAATGTGTAGGTTAAAAAACACACAGTCGAAACCGTTTGTCTCACGTTGAATGTCCAATTTA